CGCTCCGCGATGAGAGGTGTACCTTTCCCATCGAGTTCAGGGAGTGATTCGCAGGAGAGCGACGCAGCCTTGATGACTATGGAAAAATTAAGGTGGAAGAGAAAACTTTCTCATGACGCGCGGACATAACGATCGCCCGACAGCATCGATGCAATTAGTTCGCGTTCAGGCGGCTTTACGATCGTTCGATCTTACAGTTTTTCGCTTTTTACACGCATTACGTAACCCGAGGCGTCGTCTCTTTTCCCCCCTCGTTGCTCCCGTCTCCCTTGCGCGCGAACCAGAAATCGCTCGTCGTTCCTGGTACCGGCATGAGAATAAATTCGTCGATTGTTTAACGCGATTTCAATTTCACGTTTCATAATTTTATACACAATATCGTGCGTGTTACGTCCTTAAAATATTCCGGCGCTTTCACCCAAAGAGAACCGACTCCAGCGCGTGCTCCATTTCGCAAGGGAAAAGGAACTTTGCTGTTCCATCTACTGTGTATCTGCGAGAAGTTGGCTAGTACTTCGTTTGCTCCGCCCATCCCCCACTTTCCACGTACGACGCATCGTCGTTTCGACCAATGGCGACGATACGCGACTAGAGTGGGGATCCCACGCACCGATCAGACCCGAAATTCCTTTCACTTGTCAACTTCTCGCGGACGCACAGTAGCTCCCAAGCTTTTCGCGTTAGGTTTAAAGTTTCTACGGTTAATAAGTTCCACTACCGCGACGTGTAATCGCTTCCCATTGATGTTAGCAATAATAAAACATCGTTTTCCATTAGGCAGCTGTGTACGCGGAATCGTTCGACACCCACACGGCGGTTTCGAAGAAGGCCGTTCGCGCGATTCCCATCTAAGATACCGGCGAACGCGTCGTCGAACTTCTGTCTGAATCCCGTCACGGTGGGCGTACCCGCGATTCGCAATTATCCAATAATTCGTGCAGCAACATTCCCCAGTTTCGCAATCGAAAACGCATCCTACTCGCGTTGGATATCCACATCGATCAAAGCGACCGACTAATTGTTTCGCAACGTTCGTCCGCACCACTTCCCACGAGCAACGTCCAGCATCTTCCACCATATTCATCCGACTCGAAAGTGGACGATGCTTTACAGAAATACGTTTTTTGGGTTCTTTGGATACAGGCAATAATTCTCATCTTTAAGAGACACGTGGTTATCTCCATTACTTCTTGAATTCGATTTTAGTTTCTCTCGTCTCGAATCAGAGCTTGACAGTGGCTCGTGCGAGAAAATTTTTTTAACAAGACTCACCGTGCGTGTTGTACCATTTATTTGTTTCTGCCGTTGGAAAAGCTAGTGAAACCAGTGCCAGTCACGCGATTCACCGTGTACAACATATAAGTCCAATCGAAATTGTAATTTATTCAGGGTTAGGCTCCCGACGATCTAAATGTCAGGTCGAATCGGACCTAAGGTCTCGATACTTTTCTGTTTTGCAACAAAGCTCGCTGCTGAGTTGTTTATGGATCGAACGGCCAATTATCGAAGAAGTAATTAATAACGTTTGACGCGTCGCGCGTACGCTCGGTGTAAACTGGACCAAACGGCGTCTTATTTGCAATGTTCGTTGGATTTTACGGAGAATAACTCGTTTCGGTACGTCCAGACGATACGTGTTAATAAATTAAGGAAGTTTGTTTAGTGTCATTAAAATTACAAAACTTTATTACGAATGTCCCAATAGGCAGAATTTTGTTGTCGTTGAGCAACAACGATTAATTACCAATTAAAAACGTATTTGCTCGTAAATCTCATTAACGTGTACACTCAATTGCATAAGTTATTGGAAGAAGTACCATCGGATGTTGTACGTCGTATATGGTTTACGGCTTATGCTTAGCGTAATCGTTTCAGCCGAGTACTTAGACAGTTCTTGAATGATCTTCTAACAAATGAGTAGGTTGTGCAGGACCTATTACCCGGGCTGCACATTCTCTGGATTTTTATTTCCCAGACCGCTTGAAAACGTTTGTTTTTATAACACCGCCGGTGTCGAAACGCCATGTCATCGTGCAGACTGCCAACGAATTCGACAAACGTGTAGAATTTTTTACAAAATTAGGAACCACTACGATGCGATGTCTTTGGCGTTCGAAGCTCTATTATTGTTACACGAAAGCCCGTTGGAAAAATGCGCGTCATACCTCGATGAAGAAGCCCCCTTCGTAAGATTCACCGCTCTTTTCGACTTTCAAAACTGCGCTGCGTTGGAGCGTAAACGCAGAAACTAGGCATCTCCTCGGCCGTGAAAGGGTTGAAGTAACGATCCAAGTACTCTGCCCTGACCTGGTCTTGCTCGGTCTTGCTGGATGCACGTAAGGCTGGGCGAGAAGGCGGATTGCTCGCCAAGCAATTCCGAGCGTGCGTACCCGCGCGTGCCTTTCTCCGCTTGCCTGCTGAAGCTATGCGCCGAGGATGGTTCGCAAAAATATTAGGTCATCCCACGAGAAATACGCTTTTTTTGGAGACGAACGGAATTTTCTCTCGAATAAAGCACGGCGATTAGAATTTCTGTGCAGAAATATTGTTCACTTTCGTCTTGTTTTGGCATTCAGGATCATCCCCCAAAAAATTCCGCCCTTAAGGAAGACTCTGTGATTTGTCAGTTATTATTCGATAGGTAGCAAAGAAGTAAAAACGAGGACCATCTCCCACTTTGATATCACCTGACGATTACAAAGTTTCACCGGTGGTTTATCACGAGAAAGAGGATCGCCGAAAGGTGTCACGAGGCCCCGACGCATCAATGAAGCGTTCGAGAACACCTATGAAATATCAAATTCTTTCTGATACGTAGCACGATAATCGATGGAATGACTTCTTCATGCTGCACCTTCGAGGCTAGAAGTCAGCGCGCGGCTCGAAAGATCATTTGGATCGCGTTGATCCGGATTAGCCTTCCCACGATGCAACGAAATACGTCTCGGCGGTTTGTCACGTTACGTTTACGGGGGTCTCGAAAACTTTTTCCACGGTCCGCGACGCGAAATTATCTTCGGAAATTGCTACAGACGCGATTTCTATTCCTGTCCCCGTCGTTGCGCATCTCGATTACTCGTTGTGAGAATTTCTTGTTGCGCGATGCGCCCCCCGAGCTGCTTCTTCTTTCCGTTGATGGTTTCCGTGTTCGATGAAATGGCGATCCCATTTACTGCGAACGCACGCAGATGCCTTATTGAATTGTTAATGAGAGATCCTTAATAAGAGATGCTAGGCGAGAGTATGTCTCTCTTACGCTCCAATGTAATCACGTTCAAAGATTGCGAATTCCTGGCGATTATTAGAAGCATCGAGATGCAATTTTAAAACGGAGACTCCGGGCATGATCAGCGATGAATTATAGCAGAGACGAACATATACAATTTTTATTCGTATTACTATAAGCTATCGTTTAGTTTCGTACAGTGGCAATTAGTGTCACGAACGCTAATTTTGCAAGATTGGTCTCCAGCGGATCAATTAAAACAGTTCCGACATTACCAAGAAAGTAAACACGGTTTCAACGCTTTTAAAATCTATCCTACTCTGGCGGGTAAAGAACTCCCCTAGACGCGTCTGGGACTCCCCGCGACGTTCGATGGCCAAACTGGAGAAAGAAGTCGTCCAGAATTCGGCGGGTGAAGAGAAGCAACGAAGGATTCGCCTTCTCCGGGTCAATCCAGGCAAGGTTCTAAGGCAAGGTGAGGCAAGGTGAGACGAAGCAAGGCAACGCGCATCATCGTCCCCCCTTTCTGTTCATCGGGGCCCCGGTCCCAACGCGTTCAAGTATCATCTTATTAGAGCCACGCTATATAAACCCATCCTGCCAGCATGCCCAGCAGTTACGTACTGACTTTATTCACAGCCGTGTGCCGGAGTGCAACGATATTGTATACAACGAGACACGTGCCTCATCTGAACCGTATCCGTGTATCCGACGTAGGTCCGACTCTAAGGGCGGCTCGAGAGACGTATAGTTTTCGTCAGACCTCGGCGACACTTCATCGAACTAACCCCTCCCCCCGTCCATCCCCCGGTGACACACGGTGCTCCTTTAATCCCGATACTTCACGGGACCAGGAATCTTTAATTTCTCTGTCAAGTGTTACGTGTCTTCTGTGAGAACTTTGGGGACTGCCTTCGCTTTATCAATGATTTCGTTCATGTTGTTCTGTGACAAGAAAAGCATTCCTTTGGGAAGGATACTGTACTCGTGGATATAGGACTCGCAACAACCAAAAAAATTCTAGTTTCGATTTTTATCGAGGAAACACGTATAGAGGATATTCGCAGGCAAGAACGAGCAAAATTGTACGGATGAAAAAGATCAAAATTTTAATTATAGAATCTCGTAATTATTCGAATAAAATTTTGCTCGTCTCTGTCTCCAAGTGAGAATTCCACATGCCGAATATTGCACTTTGGTGGCCCTTTTAACTTCCGCTACAAGAAATTCGAATATAACAAATTTTGTAATTTATAAATCGTCGTGAAAATTTATTTTAACGGTGCAAAGTCGGTAAAATGGGAATTAAGAGTTTTGGTCCTGAGAACGAGCGAATAATCGATCGATCCTGTCGGCGAAGATTTCAAAGATTATTTAACAACCGAGAGTTCCTTTACTCGTGATTTCAAACAGGGAGTGGTGTGTATGCATGCAATGCTACGAACAATCGTACCGAAGTCAGGGTGTGGTTAACCGTGAAATGTCGTTGAGGTCTATTCAACCCTTTATGTCGTAAAGCGCGCATGAAATCGGTTCGCGATAATTTACGCTTCCTTTAAATTAATGCCTTTGGAAACTATAATTTCTCCACCGCGTCGTACATTATTTCTGGAAATTCTCGATACGCGTTTCAACAATTATTTCTTTCTCCATTTTATGTTGTAACGGTGCTTCTGTAAAGGGTTGACTTTCTATTTCCCGCAGTGGCACATTCCGAAAAGCGGTGCGTGAATTAATTTCAGTACGCCTGGGTCAACATTGTTGCCCTCACGTCATGTTTTACCTTCAGGTACGTGCCTTTGAACCGAATAATATTCATTCGAGTTTTAAAATTCGATAATCACAACTAAACCACTTTGCTAGCGTATTTAGCAAGTAGGAACTTTCGTAGAGAAACGTTTGCGAGAAAATCATCAGTATTCGCGGCGGATACTGTGACTGGTTTATCGCATTCCTGAAAAGAATTTGTACTTTGCTACCAAAGGAGCGCTCGAGAAGTACACGGTCCCCCCAGCGGTAGTCCCAGCGAGTGAAAAGTGATAAGCGACGCCGAGGAGGCGCGAGGAGTGTCGTTCCAAGCCGTGAACACCGATTCCTTCGGCCGTCTAATTATTATAATTAATTACAGCCTCCCAACCGGTGAACCTCGTGACGCATAAATCTCAATTCACGTGTCCACGGGGGAGAGGTGTCAACAAATTATCGCGAGTTATTCCTCAGTGCCGTATACTCTTCGCGGATTCTGCGATTAATCAGGAGAGAGATGAATCACGCGACGGACCCTCGTAATTGATTTATCGATATGCATACGTTTGCCAATTGCCTCGGGCGCTAGGGAATCCTGATGTGGCTACTTAAGTCCTCCATTTAATTCGTCACAGTCTTTGGAACGATATTTTGAGCTCTTTGAATCGCTACGAATCGTGGCGAAGTCTCGAAATTTGCATCGTTCGTATTCTTTGAACTCCTTGTCCCGTCAAAGGGTTTAAAAGTTCAGAGTCGCTGTTTACAATACGCTGTGTCTCGTTCGGTTGCAGGCGATCGCATAATTTAATTCTAAATAGCTGTCGTAACGACTTGGTCTAATTAACCGTAATAGAAAGTGTGTTTGGTGTTACGTGACTCGTGGAACACGACTCAGTTTAGCAGGTCCTATTCTTCTCCTCCTTGGAGACAGAACACACCTTAGACTCGGTTCGCGAAGATTCCGCAGCGTTTTATTCTTTGAAGTTTAAAGACATCTGATAATGATAGCTGTATGATCCCTTTTGCGCAACGAGGTCATAAACGTTTGAAGCGAAACTTGATGGATTTACGGATACTGCTGAAGTTTTATCGCTGGTAATTGTGCCAGCAGGATGAACATTTTTCATTTGTGGAGCAATGTCCTCTCTCGAAGGATCCCTGGAACGTGCAATATATCTGCGTGAAAGGTTTTATGGGTGTCTTTTCGTCGTCTGATTGTTACGATCGTTAAGAAAAGGACATTTTGTAGGAGAGATAATTGCAACAATGGAGGACGCGTGCTTGCACATAGACAGGATAAAGTTGGACTTATTTTTATTTTACAGTAGTTCCCTTATTTTTATTAACGATCATTCCGTTTACTTTCGTCGATTCCCCGTGATTTTGTTAAACGTGCTTCCAGCTGTATAATGTAATTCACATGAAAACTGTAGTCCTTCGAGATTTAAAAGGATTTGCATCACTTTGGCTGTGGCAATGAACGTTAAACAATAACTGCTGAAACAATGGTGTAAGTCTGATGCCAACTGAATTTCTCTGCAGTTAGTAAATTTAAATGAGCGGCGGCTCTAAGCGAGAGAGGCTACTTAATATTCCCCGCGGGACTGCGAATTATTTTGCAATATTCTCATTTTTTTCTCGCCTCCCCGTCTTTTTGGCTGGCTCCTGTTCAAGGGAAACGGACCTGGTGTCTTTTCACACATAAGCATAAAGAGCTCCGAGTATTTTTATCTGAATCAAGATGCATCATTGAAGCAACAGCAGTTTGTAACACCAACCGTTTCACTTTATTTTCACGGATATCATAGTCTTCGAAACCACGCGTTTCATCTTGTTCCCCGTCCGCGATCAACAAGGTTGGATCTTCGCCGCAAGAATATGTAATTAGCTACAACGCGTAGATTGACGTTTCGTAAATTAATTAACTTTCTTATTGTTAATTCCTGCCATCGTCGAGTTGAATCAACACAAGACGGTACACCGTAATTGGCATAATTACTATCGCAAAATATTATCGAGTTACCGCAACTCATTACAGACATAATTCCATTTCGTTCTGTAATTAAAATTTTTAGTTTTATTCGACGGGTTTAACTTTTATTCGTTATTCGATAATCTTGATACAAATTTTGATTTTTTTACACTTGATAAATTTCTTCCCTGAGTTTCGCCGGTGAAAGTGTGTCTAATTTATTTAACAATCATTTCAACGCGCGTGAAACTCGCCTCGAGATTATCATCGTATCTGAAATCGAAACTGGGGACAAAATCCGTCCAGGGAAAACAATTTCGCACGCATTTCGTTGCACCGTAGTCAGCGAAGAGGCGAATTAGAAATGAGGCGGAAGACGTGTAATTAAATCGTTGCGAAACTGTAAATAAGCGTCACATTCGCAGCGTGAAACACTCCGCACAATTACTTATCTCGCGCTTTAAGTACTCTTTATTCTTTTCAGTGTCTTCTGATCCCAATGATTTCTTTTTTTCAATAGAACTTCTCGCGTATTATTAACCTTCTCTTGCACGAACCTTTCCATTGAATATATTATGACGAAACTTGTATCGAATTTAGCCCGCCACCATTGACCAGAAAATCTATTATCTGAACTTCAATCGCTTCGAACGACTTCTTCATTCCGCGATAGATCGTCGACACTTGAATGTTTTTATTTCTATCGAAGACCACCGGGAAAGCACTGTCTTGGGAGGTTGATTAGATGCGTTTACACGCATTTAACCGTGACTGTCGCTTATGACACGCGGTCTAATAGAAACTTGCGAAACGCGAGGGCATCTTCTCAGTTTCTAATCGAGGAAAACGTTGCCCGCGTTCAACCTAATCCTCGCGCTCGCCTCGACCGTCGCATTATACATCTGTCGTACTGTTACCAAATCTGGTACATCAGTTTGCGACACGCCAACAGTTCATTACATTCTCATCACGATTATCTGCAGCTGACACGCGTTTTGTTAGAGAGAGGAAACGCGGTACCATTAAAAGTTGCGCGTCAACCGATTACTGCACGGTAATTGAATGTGATTGTGTAAATGGGAGTAGGAGGATAGAGTAGGAGGACATTTATCTCTGAAGAGACACTTAAATCCTGTCTCTGATGGTTGCGTTCACGAGGAACTGATGAAACTTGGCGGCACTGTTTCAATTTTCCAATCATTCTACTTTTCCACTACGGTTCGTAAATGGTTCTTCTACCTTCTCCTATGATCAACAATCTTCGATATCATTTTCTTCTCGCAGGTCATCTGCTTAAACCTCGCCCAGCGTCTTGGCATTTCTCCAGTTTAGATCTGTGCTGGTAGTCGTTAATCGTAAATTTAGACGAGGGTCTGGAACGGTTCGAGAGTGAAACTAAAGTACTACTTCGTATATAATGGAAAAAAAATATTTACTCGTCGATAGTGATGTAATAAGATACGATGTTTGTAAAGGAACTAGTTTTAAAAATTTTCAGCACGAATGAAAAAATATACTTTATCGTCTTAACACGTTGGCTGTTCGATAGAACGATTTGAAACAGTTTTTGAACTTGAAAATCTTAGCTACATCGCAATGATACATGTTACCTAGAAAAGGTACGGGGCGGTCAATGTGTTAAGCAGAGACCTTAAATAGAACCACAGATATCAGATGCAGCAGGTCTTCATAGAGATCCGCGATGTGAACAGAAGAAAACCAGACGTCCATTAAGTGTTTCATTACAGATAACGATACTCTGCGTGGCAGTGGTCCACGTCATTTGCGACCTACCTCCCGGAACGAGACGTAACACGTACCTGCCACCCGAGCCAACGAAGGGTTACAATTACGATACACCTCGAGTACCGTTCCCAAAACCCTCGACCTCACGGCCCCCCTTCTCCACGACAACACCATATCCAAGAACAATGCGCCCCTATCCTAGTACCAAGCCAGTCACGAAATTCCCGTCGTCGAGACCGACTCCGAGCGAGGGATATCCACCTACAGGTCCGAGACCCACCCCAGAGTTCCCAGACTATGGAACACCGACTGGGCCTACCAGTAACACCATTACTCCTGGTGGAGTAAGTAGCGATTGCCTTCGTCAGGGTCTAACGATGCTCGCGTACCACGGTGAATCGTCGATAAGTATCACCGTTCGGTTTAAATTGCAATAAACTGAACTCTTTGTAAGTGTCGTGCAATCTACAGACCCTGACACTTACAAAGGGTCTAATTTTAGGGTTCTCCTAATTGCTTGATACCCCGTGAATAGTCGATGGGGTAATACAAAGCTAACTTACAACTGTTGCACGTTAATTACTTAGATCTTAAAATGTGTTGGAAATTGGAATAGATTGAATTGTTCTGTAAGTGTTGTACGATCTATAACAGGCCGTGACACTTACGTGAGGGTCATTAGACCCTGGTGAAGGCGATTCTCCTAATTGGTACATGTTTTCTCCCAATACAAAAATACACAAAATCTTGCAAATAGTCTAACTTGTAATTGTCCCACTTTAATTATTTATATCTTAAAAAGCGTCGAGTAGCTTCACCTAATATTTTGCATAGTTCGTATCCTTATCTTGCTAGTTGTAACTCAACGACTCCTCAGTCGATTTCTCTGGGGCTAACGGCGAGAGGGAAGAAACTCGAGGACCCTAGTTCTAAGTCCAGGAATTGATTTCAGCATGATCACCATCACCACGAGCCGGGCATGCCGTTCGATTTCAACTACGCCGTGAAGGAGGACGCGTTCGGCAACGATTACTCCCACAACGCCATAAGCGACGGCGATATCGTTCGCGGGGAATACAGAGTCCAGCTTCCGGACGGAAGGCTGCAGATCGTCCGTTACACCGCCGATTGGAAGCACGGGTTCAGTGCGCAGGTCTCCTACGACGGGAACCCCCGTTTCGACGTTCCACGGCCGCCAGGCACCTTCGCTGGCTATTAAGACCAGCGTCGATCGAGCCTAGGGTTGCGAACTCGTACGATGTTAATACACGTTTGTTCCGCGGTTCTTGTCGTTAGTTCTCACCGTGCAGTATCGCCGTCTCTCCGTTATCCATTCGTTTCCGCTAATCAGGGACGGGCAGCGATTTTATTCGCGACATTTATTCGATTGAACGGTTGCTTAGGTACTTAAGTTTTTCCCTAGTTCAATGTTGAGTATAATATTCGAATTCTAATTCGTTGTCGATCGGCAACGAACAAAAAGTTCAGTTTTCTTTTACTCGTTATTCGTGATTTTTATCCAAATAAAAATTTCACCCGTCTCTGTCGCCAATTAGCCAGAATCGTTCGTGTCGTCGAGGATTTTATTTTTCATTTGCAGTCGACCCTGTTTACGCAGATTCGGGAGTCGGTGCTGCTCGAACTAGATACTGAAGGAAACCTTGGGGGTGAGAAAGGGAGCATATGTGTGGAGGGTATAGAAATTAAATGATTACTATTCGGAATGAACGTATTCGGAGATAGAAGTTATTTGAAAATATTAACCCCTTCCCGTGGGCGTAGGCGTCAACGCGCGGTAAACAGACTAGACTGGTGATAAACTGCTTTCTAACAGAGATTATAAGAATCGTGACCAATTCTTATGGCGTACGAGTCTGGCTCGTGACATTCATGTATGGGCCAAAATCTTCATCACGAATCAGACTCGTCGAAGCACGGGAAGGGGTTAAGCAGATGGATGATACAGAACTTGCGGTTGAACGAGCAGCACCCTCCTCCAGGATCTGTCGCTTTGAAAGAAATTGTATTTGCAGTCGCAAATGGTTTTGATCGTGGTTGGCACTATCGATTTTGTTCAATTCCCTGCCGGTGCAAATTTTAGATATAAGTAATCAAAGACAACCCCTTAGATCAGAGTATATTTTTTATTCTTCAGTTAGATGTGTCCAATGGACGCGAATAATATAGGATGAACGAAATAAAAAATTGTTAAAATTAAAGTGTACTTCTTTCTGAAACATGAAACACCAGTTAAAGACTAATTTGTACCAGTAACATTTAATTTTAAGGGTGCTGATGAAACAATACTAACCCCTTGCAGTTGAAAGAATGATTGATTATTTAAACGCTCGGTCAATGATCTAAGGAAAGGATTCGAAATTATATCAGCTCGCAAAGGAAACATTTTCTTAGATCGCTGATCAATTTTAAAGGAAAAAAGTAAACAACCGTGTAATTCAGAATAAGAGGATCGTTGTGTTATCATTTTTCATAATAAAAACATAAATAATTTAATGTTTTTAATGTTTATGGTTATGCTACCAATAACTTTATATTTGCAGAACACATGTGCCTGATTTAAAAAATTGTTTGTAACATATATTTTTATAAGTATCACATGTAGCGTAAGGTTCAACTACATAATTTCTAGGAGTCTTTACATTTAATGTAGTTTAGTTTTTACACTGGTTTTTAAGGAAAGAACTGGGAGTTTTGAAGTTTTACACTGCCAACCCTAGCCTCGACCAATAATTGTAAATGTATTATAAACAATCCAAGGAAATACTCGAGAGTTTATATCGACAATTCGTTCGAATAAATTCATTCAAATCAAAGGTCTATCGAGCATGTCTGCAATTTAATATAAAAAAATCCAATGTTTTCAAGCATTTCTTCATTTTCTAAATTCATTTCACTTAAAAAAGCATACATCTCTTTATTTGAAACTATTCTTACAGAAAAATAAAGCTATGCACAAAGGATAGTTTGTTGTGATGGTTTGTCGCTATGGTTAAATTGATCGTCGCGCATGTGCACTCGCAATGATGTCTCGAGGCTTCGCTGTTCATCGAATACCACGATGATCTATCATCTTTCTTCTGTCTTATAAAATCATTTACCATTTCACTGTCCTTGAGGCTTGAGAAAAGTTGATCATGATCGCGACCAAGTAAAGTGTTTTCCAATTTGTGACACCGTCTGAGAAGTTTCATCGTTCGAAATGACTCTACCATTATCGAGAATAGACTACACAGCCGTGGGTGTTACATCTCGAGGCACAACAAAGATTTTCTCCGCGTCGGAGCATAGACAAACTCAGAAGTTTGCTGTTGCTGACCACGATGGCGTGTTACACGTCTACGGTAAGTTCTATACAAGTTTTACGCCGCTAATGTTCCCAATTGCTGAACAGGCAAATTAATTTTTAACATAGGTATGAAGAAGGGCGAGCTACAGCTGTCGTTCAAGTCTCTGCCCGGCCCGAAGATTAATAAACTAGTTCTGGGTGGTTCCGCGCGCGATAAGATTTACATTGCACACGGAAACACCGTGAAGGGTTACTCGAAAAAAGGAAAACTGTTCCTAGATTTCGACACAAATCTGATAGATCCCATTTCAGCGATGTGAGCACTGATAAATTCTAACAAATCCTATCACGTTTTATAAGATTGCAGCCCCTAATATTCGTTTCGAAACTCTCAGGTGTGTGATTGGACCGCATCTTGCGGCATGTGCTCGGGATCTCTATCACAGATACCACGATTGCAAAGACGCTGACTCTTATTTAGCTGGTGAAACCTTATACGATGTTGTACTTTTGCCCGCCGAAGGTTCTACCGTCTACGCGATTCTCGCTTGCGGAGATTGCGCGGTAAAATTAATTCATTCATCGCGTCACGATCAATCATTTTTCTAATCGATTTACTTTTTCTAGGTACGAGTCCTTCATGGAACAAAGAGCCCAGCGGTTCTTAGGCTACCAAGCGTGCCTACGGTCCTATCTTTATACAGGTTCTCGATGTTCCGTTACTTTACACATCGTTTTTAATCTCGTACGCTTTCTGACGATAGTCTTTATAGAGAGGGTGATGTCGAGTCTAAAGACCGTGTTCTGGTCGGAACCATGGATGGCAGGATAGGTTTACTGATACTTCAGGGTAACAAAACATTGAGGATCACTTGGTTGCTGAACGTGACAGGCTCCGAGGTCACTTCTTTGGACACTTACGAATTGCAAGACGGTTTGGATATACTTGTCGGTCGGCAAGACGGTACTGTCGAGGTGTACACATTTCCTGACGAAGACACGTCACCGTCCTTTCGCTATCGTTACGTATGTACTTACACGTGGTGGTTCGTGACTTCTTATCGCTGAGGACTCTCGTGTTTTAGAACGCCAATGAGAGTATCAGTTCGGTGGTAGGTGGTGTAATTGGAGCTGCAAAGTATCCCGAGGTTCTGGTTACGACGTATTCAGGCCGGATATTTGGCTTGACCACCAGACCACCTGGACTCTTGGAGTCTGATCAAAATGACGGTTTGATCAAGTTGAAAGCAGAGATACAGCAATTGCAGGAGAAACTTAACGAAGAAAAGGAAGCGGCTAATTTTACTGTCGACCCTTTGGCGCCGTTAATTTTGTCAGTGAATCATAGGTAATGCAATCGTTATTTTTACATGGATACGTTTTAACAACGAAGACTGAAGAAATCGGTTCCAGGATGGTTTTGAACCAAGAAGACGCATCGTATTCGCTATCCATAGAACTTGATACCCCGATAGACAATATTTTAGTTCAATCAGACACACCGATAAAATTACTGGATGTGGAGAGCAATAGTGCTGTAGTCAGCCTCTCTGCTTGCAATCCTAGAGATGGCAATTTTGTTCTTGCTACTTATCGTTGCCAAGTAAGCATAAGTTACAGAGAGAACACTGAAATGTAAGGTACTTTTAAGCTGATTATTATTTATAGGTGAATACTAATCATCTTGAAATGAGATTAAGAACCATCGAAGGTCAACCAGGTGTTTTACAAATCTATGTAACTTCACAGGTATACTTTCAATTCTCTTGTACATAAAGCATGTAAAGCGTGATACTTGAATATTTTAAATTATATAATACAGTAAACCTCTTTGCAATTTAGGTACAGCCGAAATGCTGTCGTAGAATATCGATACCCATATACGCCCTTTCCCTTCACGTAAGACAACACGAAACAGACGACACAGAGTTCTCTGGAAAGTCTTTTAACGAATTGAAACTGATTGGAAGCTTCACCGTTGCGGAGGTAGATTCTTAAACATCTAATCCTTCCCTTCGAATCCGTTTTAAAGATTAAATATACTTTGATGTACTCTAGATGCACGCCTGGCTTTCTTTGATACTACCCGATGTTCCTGAAAGGCCTCACTTGCAAGAAGGCGAAGCTACTTTAACGTACGTTTCGTCTTTCGTGGGCACAATCTTGAAATGCACGTACAAGTACGTAATAATTCCTTTTTACAAATTAAGTCTATGTATTTCATAAAAATTTCATTGTAGTCAATTTAAAATTATCGTTGTAGTTAATTTTCATGGATAACTGAAAATTAATTATAATTTTTTTTTATTTCTTATTATTAAATAATTTTTTTTACGAATTAAGTCTATTTCATAAGAATTCCATTGTAGTCAATTTAAAATTATCGTTGTAGTTAATTTTCATGGATAACTGAAAATTAATTATAACTTTATTTTCTCTCTTATTATTAAATAATTTTTTTTACGCATTAAGTCTATTTCATAAGAATTTCATTGTAGTCAATTTAAAATTATCGTTGTAGTTAATTTTCATGGATAACTGAAAATTAATTATAATTTTATTTTTTTCTTATTATTAAATAATTTTTTTTTACGCATTAATTTTTACTCCGTAAGTCTATTTCATAAGAATTTCATTGTAATCAATTTACTGGTACTGGTCTCAACATTTTAGTAATTTTTAGAAAAGGAAACGCCATTTTCCATGGGGAGAATATATCGAGTATCATAATTCTCAGAGATATATTGACGAGAGAAGCAACAAAGAGAAAAATTAAGTTAGATGTATTTTGTGGTACGTTGTCTCGACGCGTCGACTATTTTTTTAAACCGAACGTAAAAGAAAAAGTATCCCCACAGATGTCGCGGAGGGCAGTATATCCAGAGTGGTGGAGTTAATGCTACCGAGATTGAACACGGCACACAAATTAATTACGAAAGTAAAAATTTTAAACGCGCTAGAGGAATGGGAGTTGAAAGAAAATCCAAAACAGAATCTGTGCTCGGAGTACCAAGGGTTGCTACAGGAGGAAACGGAAATCAAATCGCAAATGGCGAAGGATAACGAAATTTTAGATAGGCTGCACGGGGTAATTACAGATCTTTATGTCGATTGGGAAAGAGCCAAACGGTCTCGCAGGTAATGTATAAATAATATGACATATATTGACAATATATTACAATTAACAATTGCATTTCATTCGTCAACTTGTAAAACACAATGTATTCTGTATTAACAAAATTATATACTTTGCTCTTCTTTCTCGCTCGTTTCTTCTATCAGCGATTTAAATTTAAATTAACATTTAATGCTTCGAACGTTCTTGTTCGAGCAAAAAAAAAAGAAAATGACAACTTTCTTCTTTCGGAATCTTATTTAAAATATCGATCGTATATTATATAAATTATAATAAAAAATGTTTAGGAACATAATTGGCAACGTAATGCAAGGAAAATAATTGATACATAATTTTATTAATATCGTTCATCAATTACTCTGTCAGTAATAAATTCGAAGAATCTCGTCATTCTCCATTTTATATTTACATATATCAAAAATTAAAATTGATTTAAAACAGTTGTTTAGCGAAGAGTCGAATCGAAAACTTGAAATAAATTGCACCACTTTCTATATACACTCCGTCCGTTTCAGGATTAGTAGCAAAGATGCGGCGGAAAAGCTCAACGCAGCCCTCGAATCCAGAGAAATGGCTCAGCTTTTACATGTTTTCATTGATACAAGTAACACGGTGCCTGCACCATCTTTAACACCGTCGATTATTTAAGACTGAACTACAGATTTTTTTTATGTGGAGAATGCAATAAAAGTGGACCACAGTGTTTCTATAAATGTCTTCACGTAAAAAATATATTTTTCAACGACGATTCGCGATACAAACGACTAACTTACCTAGACTTAAAAATGTACATACATATATACAGGGTGTAAATGGAATAGGTAATTAAACGTTAGGAGCGTTTCTTGTTACCTGTGATTAAAACAAAACCTACAAAATAGATTAGATAATTTTTCCTTTGAGAGTATAAACACTTTTCGTTTATTTCGTAGGAAATAATTTTTTTTCAATTTTATACCTAAAATCGCTTCTCATCAACCATCGAGCAAGTTTACCTTGAAGTATTTTCCCAAATTTCGAAAATTGTTAGTTTCACATTTGAAATGTTTATACCTCGGTAAGGAAAAGTTTCCGAATCCATGTTTATACGACCTTTGTTCGCACTCGAGATAAACAGAATACGCTTCTGAAGTTCGACCACCAATTTCAATTATATTCTGTATTTATAGATTTATATATATATCTTTATGCAATTAAACTGATATATATTTTTAGGATTTCCTCTCTGTTTTGTACTTTCACAAGTTTCTCGCTAAAAACAGTCTTAAGAATATTATTTAAACGCCATATCAATCGTGATCGTGTTTCCTTAAATGTATATCGCAGAGAAACTGGAAAGTACAGTATGCACAATTACATAGGCAGTGCGTTGATGCATAGCACTTCGATCAGTCATTTAAAATGAAGGTCCACTACTCGCCAGAGCACTATCTTTGTGCAATAGACCTTTCACGTTTCATCGTTAGGTTATCTCGCGTGCTGGATCGCGCGTTACGGTACAAAAACAACCTTTAATTCTTTTCCGAATAAACGTTACATGAAGAAATACTGCCTGCAAAAATAACAACGCAAAACATTTTCGTACACTTTTTAACACCACAACGTGAATAAAAACAAATGAACTTACATGTTGTCGGTAGTACGTACAACTGCCTCCAGTGGATCCCTGTCTTGGTTCGAGTCTGTCGTGGTCGTCACAGTATATTCCAAGGTTTGCCCGCCGGCATGTGGCAAAATGCTTTCGGGATTATCGTCAGGCGGAACAATTTCCACGACTCCTGTTGCTTCCACTTCTAATTTCAAATCCCTAACGAGATCCTGAATTGTTTTGGCTTGTGCTCCTTTATCGTTCTCATCCTCTATGTTCTTGCTCGATATAACCCTGTTCAAAGGTCTGTCCGTTCTTCCTCTAGAATGTGTATGCATATGCCTTTTCATGTCGCTCCGCACTCGAAATGCTTTTTTACACACTGTGCACGAATGCGGTTTCTCCCCGGTATGTATACGGCGATGATTTTGTAAGTAACTGCTCGCTCGAAACGTTTTGTTGCAGTATTCGCACCGGTAATTCTTTTCCCCGGTATGGATTCTTCTGTGAACGATCAAAGAGTATTTACGCGCGAAGTCTTTACCACAATATTCGCATTGATATTGTTTTTGTTCCGAATGGATGCTCGTCGAATGGTATTTCAAGTCCCCCCATTGACGAAAATGGCGACCGCATTCTTCACACTTGTACGGCTTGTCGCCGCTATGAAGGCGCTTGTGAACCTATATTTCCAACAGTCTGATTAATAGAGAAAACTTATGCTTGCGTTAATTGCAATAGGTTACCTTTAAAGCACTAGCCGCGAAGAAACTTTTTCCACAAACTTCGCACTGATGCGGTCGTTCTCCACTGTGAGATCGCATGTGGTACACTAAACTATTTTTATGGTGGAATGACCGATCGCATTGAGGACACGACAATTCATCTACGAGCATAAACAATTATATGAAGGTGTATTGGTCAAAGAGAAAACCTTTACAAGAAAATGTACAATTTTTATACATACTTGATTTTCGCGCTTTCAGTATTTTCTTTTTTTTCGTTGTTTGTGGAATGTCGGTTTTTTCTTTTTTATACAAGTCTTGCTCATTAACGGTCGGCGGTTTAACGTGGTCCCTATGCACGTGATCCGTAACATCGGTAATAGTCCATACAGGCGATTGATTATTTACGGTAGATAGCGGGGATTCTGTTTCATCGTCTATATGAGCACCAGTTTCCTCCACTGTGAACATTTTTAGCGTGAGAGTTCGAAAATACCAATAAACAACATTCTCATTTCCATACACGGTCACTCACCGACGCCTCTGATGCCTTCCATGAGATCCTCGGGCTCACTGAATTCTTCGATTACAGTGTTCTCGAGACTTTGAACAGTTTGCGGTACAGATATTGTGATATTAGTATTTGTTGCTTGTGCTATTCTCGTTTCCTGTTTCACAGGTTCGTAGTGCACCTGAAATACAAAAAATCGTTGCAGGCATCGTTGATTCGATCGCTATATAACGCGATCCGCGATTAAATACGCAGAAATTGAATTACCTTAAGGTGCTCGAAAAATTTTAATTGACTACTAAATCTAGAGTTACACAGTTCGCATTTGAATACGTGGGTTTGCATATCTCCGGACGATTCTATATTTATGGCATCTGAGTTCAGTCTATTGCCATCCTTCCGCGAAGAGCTTCTTTTAGTTTGTTGTTTAAGTTTACGAGGAATCCTCTTTTTGTGAGGTAAAGATCTCTTTGGTCCAGAACTCGGTGTTGCTTCTTCGCCGCTTTCAGCCGACACTTCGATATCGTACTCGCTTTTAACGTTTATGAATTCCTGCTTTACGTTATGCGCGAGTCTTTTGAACGGTTGCAAGGTCGGATACACGGGCGGAGCATTCGATTCTGGTACAGTTTGAATAGAATAAGTATTAACAGGTGTTAATGTTTCTAAATGTGAAACATCTGGTAGAGTTGGATCTTCGTGTTGAGATTGATTATGAAGCTGCTGTTGTTTCTGTTGTTGCTGTAGTTGAACGGCAACCAAAGCCGCGGCTAGCCTGCGATCCTCCTGTACACGAAATTTAAATTCAATCTTTGATATGCGAACGCAATAAAGCAAAATGTTACCTCTGTTAATTCATGCTGTAACAAGTCATCTGCTTCATAATATTGCGTTGCTGTACCATAATCAGTACCAACACCAGCATTGATCATATCAACAACCATTCCCTCAGAGATTAACTCTCCATTTAATGTTAGGAGAGGAACACTCTTACTTAGTGGCTCTCCATCAGCCCTTTGAATGGTGATATATTGTGCACCTTCCATTTCCTCCAGCAGCACTGCCTGGGCTTCTTCCATAGTTATTTCCTTCGGCTACCAACGGGAGACAATTTTATTTTTAATTACTTCCTTCCCATTTGTAAGGATTACTTATTTGCGCCTGGAAATATAAAATATTTATTAAGATTTATATCCAAAATTTTCATAAAACATTAATAGAAAGCTTAGCCCATTTTAAATGCTGGAACTTAAACGTCAGTATCATTTTTAAACAGATTTAAATCAACGATCGATAAATCTCGCGCGTATATCGATTATCTGGATATCAAACCGCAATTTAAATTTCGCGCCCTCGTATACTTTAGAGATGACAGCGGTATCAAGGTCACTGCACCCGGAGCTCTCAGAAAATTTCTTTCGTGGCTTGATTCGTGTTCTAGCAGAAAAAACGGCTTTCTCTCACCTTCTTGTACCGACCTTTGCAAGTCCGAATGGATTTCTGGTCTCCTTTTCGTGGAACTTGAGCAACATAAACAAAGCAAAATATTGAAACACTGTAGGACAAAATGTGACAACAGTGCTTGGGTCCTGACGCCATTAGAACGGATGTTCCCTTCCTTCCCCAACAACGAGATCGGTCATCAATGCCAACAGTAAGCTCTCAAAAACACTAGAATCCTTTTTATCGCGATCCCCCTTATTCACAGTATTATTTCTGTTTCGATCATTAGAATCGAATGGTTTCAATTTTTTTTTATTCTCGCAAACGAACCGCGTAAATCCTCTGCGGATAGATTTCTTTCAACTTTACAATTCGAATGATCACAAGAGGTTCGTTCTTTGCGCGTGTTGGATTCGCCTGTCAAAAGACAAAGAATACTTCCGGAAACAGAGTTCAATGCTGTTCGACACGCGAATATTGCAAAATGTTTAAACAGCATCTACAGCATATTGATGCAGTTCTGCACTATCGCAGAAAGTTTGTTACTTGAATGGCATTTTCCAGTAGCCTGCTAATCAAAATAGACTAAAGTACTCTTTTTCAAGTAGCATATAGTAAAAAGATCACTTTACATCCAACTGAAACTTACTTTATTTACATCGAACATCAGAAACTAAAAGAAGCACTTTAACGTTTCTAACAAATTTCAAGGGATCCGAACAAATTAAATTTAATAACAGCGCGACTATCGGATCGCATAATTGATGACGAGGGGGTTAAAAGGAAGTTTCCCCCCTTTGTACTGTCACCGTCAGCTGATCAGTCGTTGATTCATCGTGTCCGACAATATTGTTATGAGATTTTTTTATACCTCGTTACGCCATTTATTATTTACGCTATCGATGATATTGCTGCGTCGAACGTTGTGAAACGTGCTCGTCGAGTGAACGATTGTTTCAATTTTTTCGTCTTCGATGGAAGCGTTGTTTAAACCCGTCAATTTGTCCTCCGAGTCGAGGAACGTTAGCTAGGTTCGTCATAACCTAAAGAGACATTTTATCCACGCGAAATGCGAATTTTTAAATTACTCCGTAACAAAGTGTCGTTTCTATTTGCAGAAGTTCCAGCGGACTGACTGGAAAATAATGTGATATCTTTTTTCTTTTTAAATCTATTAAAGTGATGGCATCTGTTTGTCGCCGTTGGCGGCTATGGATTTTACCAGTTCTAACGTGTCTATACGCGCTCCTTATTATAATCGTGGTGCCTATTTTAATAGCAAATTCCATTAAAAATGGTTTTGAACAACAAGATCAAGGAGCGCTCGTTGGTGGTGCATTTGTGTTGCTGGCATTGCCCATTGCTTTCTATGAAATTGTACAACATATGATATATTACACGCAACCCAGGCTGCAGAAGTATATAATAAGGTAAGTCGGTGACTATTTGTTGGGTTTATTTTAGAAGTACAGTCTAAAATAGCTTAAGCTAATATTTCTTAAATCGTGGTCTGCAAACACATTGCTAAAGTTTTAGGAGTTCTCTGAAGAAAGATTGAAATATAATATTATAAAAGACAAAGATTTCATTCTTATTAAGGTAGTCTAATCTGGGGTCTCTATGGGGTATAATTATGTTTTAAATTATGTTGAAAGAATAAGAATTTAATTCTGCTCTAGAAATCCATTAAAAATTTTCCTTTTTCCAGAGGGTTTGAGGAAAATTGAAATTTGAGAAACATTGGCTTGAGCGAATAGGGTATTATGAAGAGAATAAAATATTAGAAAATCATAGATAAACAATGCTAAATGACCTGATTTAAAAAAGTCAAAGAGATAAATTTAAATCTTTTTACTTCATACGATATTACAAGCAATAGCTGATATTAGTGTATGACTATAGTCTTACTGCTGTGTTTGAAGTACCCATAGCAAAATTGGAGTGGCTCTAGTTTTACACTTACAATATTTAATACAATTTAAAAGTAGTAAAGATTTTTAGTTCACAAATCTATATACCTATGGCAGACAGAATAACTAATAAAGTAAACCAATTGATAATAATATGTGTAGAATTGAATTGAAGAAAAATTTTTGAGAAGTAATGTTCCTGATATATTAATTCTTTTCCTTTAATCGTATGTAATACTTGTACCATAACTTTGCTTCCTTAAAATCTTTGCAGGTAGATAACAACAAATAAACATCATACATGATATATCATAAAATAAATATCTACATATCTACAATGCTTATAAAAGTATATCTATCGGGGTACAGTCTAAATAATCTCTGTAGATTATAAAAGGTAGAGCTATCTCTTTTTTGCAGCAAGTTCTTCAATTATATAAGAAAATTTGAATTAATCAATCTGATCAATCAAAGTCTGATTACTTGATACATAGTACTATATACCTGATAAGCACATATATTATAAAGGTAGTTGGGTTGTTACTTAAGCATAAAGGATTGTACTTTAATTTGATGCTTAAAACAAAATGTAGAAATTTATTCTAAAAATTGTAAATAAAAATTATGATAATAGTAGCAATTTAAATAAATGAGATTTGATTAAGTAAAGTATAAAATTTTGATATTAAACGATACCATGTTGTTCTGTAAATGTTACGTTTTTTCAAAAATTTATAAAATTTGGAGAAAGAGTAGATATACATAGATTTATTTGTAATATTATGTAATTTTCATCTGAATAGTATTATGCAAATCTTTACATTATAAGTCTGCATGCTGCAACTTCGAATTGTAATAGAATATTAAATAAGAAATATTACAAATTTTTTTTCTCGAAAAACGGGACAGCCCCTATAAAATTTAGGCACACAAGATCGTAGAACTGTATTGATTGACTTTTGACACAGTAAAGGTCAAGGGCTAGAGACATAGCTAAAGACTATAAATGAATAACACCACTGTTTACAAAGTTTATGAATCTTAAATTTCATCAATTACAGAATACTACACGTGTAGAGGGAGATTTTACGTTTGTTCATTATTAACGTTATCATCATTCACTGTATAAAAAGACTTTCTGCTGCAAAGGGAAACTAAAATCTGTCTATTTTTAATCATAGTTTAAATAGAAAGGAAGAAATTTAAATGGGGACTATATCATAAAGGCCATTTTTCTGCAAAACTGATGTAGAACTAAATATTTCGCTTATAGTTTAAACATTTATGTATATTGTTAAATGTATTTTTTGTGACTAAAATATGTACATAAAATTTAAGATTGTGAATGCAATGTTTGTGTAGTACATATTTACAGTAAAAACCGAGACACGGTCGAGTTTTATTCTAATTTTTTACAATTTTTAAAATTACTAAATGTTAAAATCGTAGTGCACGTACAACACCTTTAAGTGATTCCAACATATTGTTATGCAATTTTCTAAACCGTTGCTCATGCACGCGTAGCTATCGATCTAATTTTTATGTACCGGGTATTCTACAACTACGCAACGTTCCACGAAATAGTAATACAGTTAAATCTCGATTTAGCGGGCTAATTAGAGGAGCAGGTGTTTCTAAAATCCTAATGTTCAGAAAATAGTATCTATAAAAAATCAAAGGTCCGTTTAATAACAAATTATATATTTTATATTGAAAACTAAAAATTTCGTTATATTGAGAGTACCAACAGTAAACAAAATCATATATTTATTTTATTCAGAAAGTAAATTGAGATTTCCCTGTAGTTATAAGTGAATATTACATAAAGATGAAAGTTTCTTGCTGAACTACCGTATGAAAGTAATAATTGTATATGTATTTATGCAGGATGTTCAGCCACTCTTGGGAAAAATTTTAATGGGGGATTCTAGAGGCTAAAATAAGACGAAAATCAAGAATATCAATTTGTCGATGGAGGCTTCGTTAAAAAGTTATTAACAATTAAATTTAAAAATTTCAAATCGTTCTGGAAAAATTATTTTCGGTTGCGGGGGTCAATTACAATCATTTTTGGTGAATAGACATACCCCAAAAATCCTACCCACTTTCTAGAAAAAAATTCGAGGAGTGAAATATTTCGACGGGGGAAAAAAATTCCAAATCGTTTTGGAAAAATTATTTTCGGTTGCGGTGGTCAATTACAATCATTTTTGGTGAATAGACATATCCCCGAAATCCTGCGCATTTTCTAGAAAAAAATTCGAGGAGTGAAATATTTCGACGGGGGAAAAAAATTCCAAATCGTTTTGGAAAAATTATTTTCGGTTGCAGGAGTCAATTACAATCATTTTTGGTGAATAGACATACCCCAGAAATCCTGCGCATTTTCGAGAAAAAAATTCAGTACGGGTGGAACTTTAAACGTTAATAACTTTTTAACGAAGCCTCCATCAACAAATTGGTATTCTTGATTTTCGTCGTATTTTGGCCTCCAGAATCCCCCATTAAAATTTTTCTCAGGGGTGGCCGAGCACCCTGTATAATCAGTTTTACAACTTGAATGACTAAAAAAGAGTAGACATAAGAATATCAAGTTTAAAGTTGATCGATTATGATTAATTTAATTTTACTGTTTATTTTAGGATATTATGGATGGTACCAATTTATGCAGTGAATGCTGTAGGTGTACACCTCTAAGTTCCTTTATAATGATAAATTTTTTTCGTTTTGTTGATAATGCCGTTTGTACTTGTACAGTGGCTTGGGCTCGTTTACCCCGAGGGCAGTATATACGTGGACAGTTTGAGAGAGTGCTACGAAGCCTATGTAATATATAATTTTATGATGTATTTATTGGCCTACTTGGATGCGGATCGTCAGTTGGAACATAGACTTGAAATGTCTCCTCAGGTACATCACATGTTCCCGTTGTGTTGTTTGCCTGACTGGGAGATGGGAAGGGAATTTGTACATATGTGCAAACATGGGATATTGCAATATACTGCTGTTAGGCCTATATCAACTTTAATATCATTGTAAGTGTTGTGCAGGAAATTTTTAAGACTTGGCGCGGCAACAGAAGTATATTCAAATATTTTTCCAGTATTTGCGAGCTCAATGGTGTATACGGGGAAGGTGAATTCAGAACAGACGTCGCTTTTCCATACATGATCGCAGTGAATAACTTATCGCAATTCGTCGCCATGTATTGTTTGGTGCTTTTCTATCGTGCCAACGCAGAGGCTTTAAAACCAATGAAACCAATTGGCAAGTTTCTGTGCATCAAAGCGGTCGTGTTCTTCTCCTTCTTGTAAGTTTCCGCGACCGTATTCCATCAGTTCATGCATATGACACGTGCCTAACATCGTTTCTTTATTTTACAGTCAAGGAGTAATGATCGCGTTGTTGGTGTACTTCGATGTCATATCAAGTATCTTTAATACGAGGAACGTGGATGATATCAGAAATATATCATCGAAGCTGCAGGATTTCCTAATATGTATCGAGATGTTTCTAGCGGCGGTGGCTCATCATTATAGTTTTACTTACAAACCTTTTGTAAATCTAGCTCAAGGACAAGCATGGTGGGACGCATTCAGGTAATCGAAAATAGTTAAAGATTCCGTCTTTCTGTCGATGTTCTTTTTATATTTCGAAAAAGGTGATCAATATTTTATTTTCGTAAAATTTTCCTGCACGCGTGGAAAGCGTAGAATTGAGGGCCTTGTGCTATTGCCGGCGCGTGGACGCCGGTTGACCCGACTAAACTAATCGCGATGAGTGTGGCTGCAAAAAGACATTCACCCCTATCTGCTTGAAAATTCCATGGAGCGAATTTTGATTAAGCTCTTCTGGACATTAGCAAGTGGATGGGTTTAGTGGTTTACAATAGTTCATCTTAGGATTTTTGTATAATTTTGGAGAACAGTATCACCGTACGCCATAAATCAGGGGTGGCGAACTGGCGAACTGGCGACAAGCGAGTCAGTTGTGGCTCCATCTATATCTTTCTGTTCCGCTCAAGTGCAGAAGGCCCCCCCTCCCTCTACCTATTGCGCAGAGCCTCGAGACGAAACGTGACGCGCAGTCTGATGGTGGGAGAATCGGTGATAGTGGGACTCGTAACTCTCGGAGAAGTTCGCCACCCTTTGTGTAAGTTAATCACGTCGGTCTACGAGGTAAGTGGATTCTCCTATATGGCTGCAGCCCTACCATCGCCGTGAGTCAGTCAACTCTGCCCGCCGGCAGTAGTGGAAGTACATTTGACACACAAAAAACCTGAAACATTATTTCGTTGTTCTCGATTATCGTCTCACTTTTTACTAAACGAATTATATTTCCTCGAATAATTTACTCATTGATCGAATGATGTATTCACAAAGTACTTCTACCGCCTGATTCGCAGAGCCATGTGGGATGTCTCTGACGTACACAATGATATCAAAGAGCATCTAGGCGTAGTAGGATCGTCGTTGAGTCGCAGGATACGTGGTCGTAGTGCTTATCAGCAAGCTTGGGGGAGCGCGACGGAACGTACGTCTCTGCTCCCCGAGGCGACGGTGATCACGGCCAGAAGCGCGCCCGCGTGTTCCTTTTCCGGTTACAATACAGGCGAAGCTGACGGGATGCCCGGTACCGTCGATCTTATTCCAGATATGCAGGATTCCAGCAACGTGGTAAAAACGTAACTCATCAATAAATAAGTCTAAATTAAGAGCATTGAACAAGGCCATTTTGTCTGGGACAATTTATCCGATATTAATCTGTTGTATTGCTAGGATTATACGTTTAAGCAGAGAAGTATAGTTTTGCAACGAGCGTTTTCCCTGTACTGTACAAATTCTCATTCTACCGTTTCTAACGACACGCGCGACATCCGATACGAATTAAAGATCTAACACATCACGTCCATTTTACGAGAACGCTTTCTTTCCTCTTGATTTGCGGCCAAACTATCGCCTCTCGAGTTACCAATGATGTACTACCAAATAATTGTATATAATAATGTTTATACTTAGAACAATATATCGGTACAGTCATATTTATAAACGTGTTGCGCTATTTATTGTTGATTTATCAACCCCAGAAGTGCACAACACACTTCTCTCTATTCACGCTGGGCAGAGTTGGGCGTTGCTTCCATGATAAATTTCTGTTTGTATAAAGATTCGAAGAAATTTGCATGTCGTTTGCAACGATCGTCTGGATGTTGTGTTTGTTACCTAATACGTCTTGTACGACTTCTTGATCGATGGGAATTTTGCCCGACTCTCGAAACATCGAATATACCGTAAATAACGAGGGAAAAGAAATTGAACATTCCTGCCAAATGTACATCATTGTTTAATTTTATATTAGCTACGACGGATATCAAATTATATACGAAGGAAGGAATATTTAAATACGTACGATTTTAATGCACCGACGATCAGCGAAAATTGAGCTGGTATTGTCAAACAATGGGTGAACTTAAAATTAAAATTTTCGTCCTGTGTCGTTGATGCGTTAATTCACGCTACACATAAGTTTACATCATATCGACCTGTTTCTCGTGCATAAGTGGTGTTTATTATCATAGAAAGACATCTAGTGGAAACATTTTATTTTGTATATTTTTAGAATGATAGTTTTGACAAAAATTCTTTTTATTTGGTCAATGAAAGTTTACCAATTTTAGAAGAAATTGCGAATTCACGCGAACGCGTACGAACATCAAATATTTTATCAGACGTTCGGACCAAAAAGAGGGTATATTTTACGTCTGAGTTAGTATCTTCAGAATTTACTAACGGATCAGAGACACTAGCTTTTCTGGCTGACATAGTCATTTACATCGTCAATTAAACTTCAAAGAAAAGAACAATATTTTTAATATGTTCCTACAATGTTGGTTATAACTTTGTAACATATTGGGAACCATTAGTTATTTATTAATATGAATTTATAAATAGGAATAAATTTCATCAAAATACGTTTTAAAACTTCACGGTACCACGAGAAGGATCTTAGGCATAGATTGCGTATTTTAATAATCTCTACCACTTTTGTACAAAAAGATATCTCAATTTCGTAAGTACTTAACAAGCGATTCTGTTAAGTGTCAATGACAAACTTCCTGGATGAGAAAAGATTATACAATAAAAAAAAGTTTCAAAACAACACCGTCTACATACATAAAATTACGTCTATCGAACAATACTCGTCGCGTTTTTTAATCTACAGTCAAGGACAAAAGTGTTCGTACAGAAAACACGTAGAAATAAAAAATTCTAAAATTTCTATATTAATAATTATATTTAAATATATATAATTGTATAATAAAGGGGTAAGTATCTGGGCATTCAAGACTGATATATGGAACAGGTGCTAGAATGATTTATCTTTGAGGAATTATGATGTTACAGTTGGCATGCAATATCTACAATCCAATATACAGTTTTTTTTTTATTACCACGTCCTTACTGTACGAATACTTCTCTTTCACTATACGTTTGCATTTAATTTATTTGCCAAATTAGGAAAATTGCTTTTATTTATTACGTTTTTAATACAAATACTTCATCCTTATAACGTATTTTACTTTTATTAAAAACTACTTTAAGAAATTTTCAGTACGCATTTTACATCTAAAAAGTGTCGAAAACACTCGCTATGTGTGTATATTCCTTTATTTTAATCATTTCTCCTATGCATACAGCGTTTGTTTATCCCATTCGTTCTGTATACATGGACGTATATACAATACGATGACTATTTATATTAAATGTGTACATAAATTAAATACATTTTTTTTATTTTACATCTACAGTCATCATGTTATCAAACATGTGCATTATTCGATGAGTATATGAAGCGATGTCTGAAATTTTTATGCTATTTGCTTTTGCATGGTTAACGACTGAGCAGAAAAACGTGTTGCCAAATGCGTAAATCGTAAATCATAGACGCTGCACGATCATTATACGTATTCAACGGTAATTTCATTGTTAAAACCGAACAATGAATTCGTACGTCGGAACTGTGTTTTTTTTTAATTGTATAGTGTCTCTAGAAATTGATGACTAGTAATAATCTGTCCCGTCGTTTGATGATGAGAAATGTAAATTAATATGTAAACATTCGCGCATTAGCCACCAGGGCTATCATACAAGATGATTATCTCGCTGGATGCACCAAGAACGGTAATCGCAATTCTCTCGATTTTAACATTATATCGACATCAGGTTTTAATGTCACGGCAATGTTACCACCGGGCGAATTGCGGCTACCGCTTTCCGGATCTCTAGTAAGAGAATCACTCTGTATTATTTATCACATGTCACGCACCACAGGTTTGAACTATCCACAATATTCTTAGTTTATTCTCTTCATTTCTCTTTGTTTAGCGCTTGAATAAATTCTTCAAGCTTCTCCTGGATCTGCCTAACACGTTCTGGAACACAAAATTAGCGTGACAATAACCAAATAATCGACTTAAACCATGCTTGTATTGGAAGTATTTTAAACCTAAACAAAGCTAAACAAAGCTAAAAATTGAAGTCGATTATTTGGTCAAATATCTCGATTTCTGTATCGAATTACGAATCGATTCAAGGTAGATGTCTGTCCCGTTAGACGAAAGCTTAACATTCTGTTATAGGAGATTATTTTAAAAACAGGCAAATTTTATTATCAAGTGAAAAAACTTACTAAGTTCCTCTGCCAACGTAACTCGTCTTCCCGTTAGTAACTTATACTTGATTTTGGCGTCTTGGCTGTAATCTTCCAATACCTCTTTAATTTCTTTATCTAATCTACGAGCTTCGCGATTCATGATTTGTTGTCGAAGGGCGTTAGCGGTGACTTTCAACATTTGTTGAATCCTCCAAAACAGCACGACATCGTTACATTCCATCTGCGTCAATATTAAAAAATTATTCACAAAATATCGGAACCAAACAGACCAATGAATTTCATTTTTAGCAATTCTAATTTTGCATACTTCATTTTCGTGCCCCGTGTGGTACAAATAAAATCCTTTTTTACAATCGTACGCCCTGGCCAAAGTTTGTTGTAGAAAGAATTTCCTGTAAATATGATGCCACGTTTCACGAACAAATTCACTGTCGACCTCCAGACCATTTTGTTGCAAGTTTTTTTTAATTGTCGTGAGCTCGTCCTGCGATAGAACGGGATCGTGTTTCTGTCCACAGAAAAAAGATATATCGATACTCTTCTAATTTCAAACCTCAACCGAAACAGTAAATAATCACAAGTTCTCACTCTCGCCTCTTACTTTATCCGAATGCAGAATTTTATCCAATTCATTTTTCACCGCTGTACGATTCTGTTGCTCTTCGTTTTTCCTTCGCCAGTACATCCATTGCTCCGTCCTGCCAGGTCCCAACATTTCGTACAAAATTTTCTCCGTACTATTCAGTTTCTCCTTGACAGAGTTTTCCAAGAAACGCACTGCCTGATCCCAGTCCCGTTTGTCGTTCACGCTTCTGTCTTCCAAAGTGTTCAGTTGAATAACGCGTAACATTTCAGATGCCTAAGAATATTCATGTTTTTATGGTCAGTTACTTAATCCAACGGGAATAGCAAGACGCAAACTGCTCGGTAAATTTACTTTTTCTTCCCAAGTATGTCGACCCATCGCCTCGTTAATGACCGCGTTTTTTAAATTGTCAAAAATGTCGTCGTGGTCGGCGCTCAATCGCGCTTGGCTAATAAAATGAAGAAACTCTTGCTGCAAAGATTCCCAACCGCTCTCAACGCTCTGAGCTGGCAATTGTTGTTCCGCCCATTGTCGAAGTTTTATATCGACAGTTGTGTTGAACGTACCTGAATTAGAAAAGTGTTTATTAGTATAAGTGTGAATTAGTAAAGTGCATCGCGCCGTTATTGTATAATTCGTGTACCAGGGTCTCCACTTTGAGCAGCGGGCAAGTAGATGTTCTCGAACACATGCATGCTAACTTTGTCCCAAATTTTGACTAACAATTTCTCTTCCCAATGTCGTGGTGAAACTTGGGACAAGTTCACAATTTCGTCCAGTATCTCTCCCCGGGCTTTCTCAAAAAGTTCGTCTTTATCCAATTCCCTCAACCTACGTAAAACAGGATATCTTATTTTATTTAGATAATATCCAAGTTTACCAAAACGTACACATGCTTTTGTCAATTACGTAAGGTTTTAAAATTTGCATAGCTAGAAAATCGATATACTGGGTGTTCGACCCTGAGAAAAATTTTAATGGAAGATTCTGGGGGCCAAAATAAGACGAAAATCAAGAATACCAATTTATTGATCGAGGCTTCGTTAAAAAGTTATTAACGTTTAAAGTTCCGCTTGTAGAACGGCGACCCGCGCACAGCTGCGTGCGCATGACAGTGGTTCTCACTCAGCTTGAGAAACTCCTTACAGTTTTTACAGGCGGAACTTTAAACGTTAACAACTTTTTAACGAAGCCTCCATCAACAAATTGGTATTCTTGATTTTCGTCTTATTTTGGCCCCTAGAATCTCCCGTTAAAATTTTTCCCAGGAATAACCGAACACCGTGTATAGTGTTGTCTGTAAAATCATAAAAAAAATTTCAATTTTACTTGACTTCAACGTGAACTCGCTCGAGAAACTTTTGTCGATGTGTTTTACGGTTGAACCGTTTACCTTGGGAAATTATTTTTCCATTCTGTTTCAAGATTGAACCTAGTTGCTTTAAATGCGTCTGCCTGTTGTTCGACAGTCTCGCGGACCATTTTCCAAAAACACTCCGCAACCGCGAGACTAAGATTTTTCGTAGTAACCTGGCTAGACATCGCTAAACCATCCCTGTTCAAGAGTCATGAAAATGGTCAGTTTCAATTAGCAGGGTGTTCTACAGATTTCCATACAAACGTATGCTCCCCTGTACTACACCCTATATGTTTACGTGCCTGTGCACGAATACATACTTGAAGAGCTTCGAATTCCTAAAGAACTTTTCCTCGTAAGTTCTGATCGTTTCTATGCTGTCATCTTTCTTACCGCGACCAGTGACGACAGCGAAATAACCTAACGCTTTCATAGGGAACAATTTACCAGACAGAATTTTACGAAGTCGGTCGGGACTTGCCAAATTTTCCTCCGCTAGATCTACCTATTAACGTCAACGTACTGTAAAATTAATCACCTCGAACCTAAAATCTTTTCTGTAATTTTCAAAACGTCGAAACACCACTCTAGATGTTGTTGTACCTTCGTTAAAACAAAGATCGTCCGTTTGCCAGAGGGGTCCATCTTCGACACAAGATCTGTCACGTTGCTTCTTTCAGCATCCACAGATCCATCTTGGATGCAGAGGATAATCGCGTTGGGGTTGCTCATATATTGCTCAGACATTTGTCGAATCGCATCCCGGGTATCTTCGGCCATGTCTACCGTAACTGTCTGTTGCAAAAGTTTTCTAAATTTCAAGCATCGTCTCGAGAAATGGGGATCAAAAAAATTTGAAATTAAATATGTATTCTTTAACCACTTCAGGGTCCTGGAAGCTCAAAGAAATGTTCTCAAAACGGAATAGAAATTGGCATTAATTGCTTTCCAACAAAGGGTCAATGATTACATGTTCACCCGTGACAGACACTTAAGGGGTTAAACATACTTTGTTCAAACGATCTCTTACACTAATTATACCAGGCAGATCAACCAGAACCATACGCTGAAGCCCCGGTCCTTTAACTGTCATCGATATTACATCCTGACTGACTGTCTTCCCATTTTTCACGCTATTTTTCATGCGATACTCGACTATGCGTCTGAGCTCAACTAATTCCGACTCCTTCGTTAAATCGAACTCTCTTGTACTGTCTTTAAATTGAGCTATATGATACGGGCCCTCGCTCAGAGTGACCTTAACTGGAGCTCTTGTCATCATTTCGCCACTACCTCTACAGTAAAATTATTAGCAGTTTTGCAGATACCTTTTAAATAATGTGTTTGATTACCTTGGAAATATCCTCGCCTGAGCAATCATTTCTAGCACGGATGTTTTACCAGAACTTTGATCACCGACGACTACTACCCTCGGTAAATGATCAGCAGTGGAATAAGCACTATCATAATCGCTAAGTTCGTCTAGAACATCACTATACATGTCGATTAAAGACTTCTAAAAAATATTTTATAATTACGGGATTGTAAAACAAAATGCCAGATCTTATATGGTGCATTAAAAACGTGCACTGCGGTTTAATTACTTTTATCTTTTTGTTGCTTAGTTTCTGATTGCCCCGTAAGAGCATCTGCTTTCGTAATTCTTTGTTTTCTCTCTCTAATCTTTCGAGTTCACGTTGATACTTCAATTGTATTTCCAGCACTTCCTCCTGCGTCTTTTCTTAAAGTATAATTGCGATATGTATAATTGTAAATTTAAAATACTTTTAAAGCATTGATTGTAGAACACTAATATGTACATACGAGCTTTCTTACGTTCTTCTTCGACATTATCGTCGATTAATGGTCGAGCAAACGCAACAGAATTGTTTAAGAGTTGATCCTTTGTTTCTGTTTCAGAAGATATTTAAATCTCAATAATGTGTTAGGGTAGTTAGCAAGAAAGCTGGTAATCCATAACAATAACATTTTGCTGATCAAGCGAGTGATATGCGAGTGCAATATTGAAGCAGATGATAAGGGAATAACTAGTATTTAGAAATTATTTTATCCAATATATAAATTCTCGTTTGGTTCAATGTACGTGGAAATCAGCAAAATATTAATATCAAACATAAAACACGCGATACTTGTGATAAATTACTAATAATAATACATTAAATTTAAACTTTATTAAACACTATGATTAAGAGGCAACCGTGATTTTGTTAAAAATAAGGTTTAAAATTAATGAAAATGAAAAAAAAAAATAAACGGGTCTGTCCCATTCAGAATTTAAATTACATGTTTGCCCAAAATGATAAAAGACCAATATTAATGTCAATCGCAGGAATTAGAATTATCCTAAAATTATTTATGAATAATAAAAAAAAAAAAAAATGCTGAATGGACAGACTTCGGATAATTCTGAGTTTTTTTTTTACACACCTGAATAAAGTTGGTTTACTAATGCCGAGATCGTGTGAAATATACCTGAACAGAACAGACCATATGATAAAATATTTTTAGACAAATACCTGGACAAATAGTGGCATTGTGTTTCAAGTACAAGCAAAATGGTTTTATGCAACAAACTGATATATGTGTATGTAAAAAATGGTTAAATGCATCCTAATTCCATCAGTTTTGCCAATCTATGAATTGGACTTAATTATTATTAACTTTGGGAATTTGTTGCATAAAACATTTTTTTTTTTTATTCTTTGTCCAATAGAGGCATGCGGGTTTCCGAAAATTACCAAATTTTGATTGTTGGGGCATGGATGGGAGGACGAGGATCAGTTTAGAGCGAAATTCCGAAATTTCAGAGACGTACAGACTTCTATCGAACGATATAAATATAACTATAACATATTACTTTATTAAATGGGATTAATACATACTGTTATACAGGGTGTTCAGCCAACCCTGGGAAAAATTTTAATGGGGTATTCTAGAGGCCAAAATACGACGAAAATCAAGAATATCAATTTGTTGATGGAGGCTTCGTTAAAAAGTTATTAACGTTTAAAGTTCCAACCGTTCTGAATTTTTTTCTCGAAAATGCGCAGGATTTCGGGGGTATGTCTATTCACCAAAAATGATTGTAATTGACCCCCGCAAACGAAAATAATTTTTTCAAAACGATTTGAAATTTTTTTTCCGTCGGAAAATTTCACACCTTTTCGAATTTTTTTCTAGAAAAGGGGTAGGATTTCGGGGGTATGTGTATTCACCAAAAATGATTGTAACTGACCCCTGCAATTAAATATAATTTTTCCAGAACGATTTGAAATTTTTTAATTTAATTGTTAATAACTTTTTAACGAAGCCTCAGTCAAGAAATTGATATTCTTGATTTTCGTCTTATTTTGACCCCTAAAATCTCCCATTAAAATTTTTCCCAGCAGTGGCCGAACACCCTGTATAATAACAAGGTACACATTTATTAGGAATTAAATCGTTTACTATCGAGCAGCACTAACATATCTTTCCTGTACTTGTCCCAAAACTTATAATTAACGGAGTAAAAATTTTAGCAACGATTTTAAATCTCCCAGAGCTAGGCTCGGATTATTTGAATTTATGCATGCAATTTTTCAGTTAAAAGTAACAAGTTCAGTGAGCAAATTTAACAACGAATTATCATTTTAGGCAAAAACTTTGCCATTTCGAAATTTAGTTTCTTAAATTTTTTGTCAAACTTTTTTGCCTAAAAATATTTTACACAGATTTGTTGCAACCAGAATTTAAATTACATTGTATATATCTTCTATTAAACCATTGATATAGTAGTGGAAAAGTTGCAATAAAAATATAAAGGAAAATTGCGACAACAATCAAGAAATGATTAAAAAAAAAAGCTGGTTAACTTAATCCTCCGGCAGGCGCGCTTTTTATCGTAAAACGAGCACCTTCTTTCGTACTCCGTACATGCGGAGGTGATATTATGAAAATTTAACTTTTGGGTCAAATAGATAGACAAACCCTCAAATGGGGAATAGAAAAAGGTCCAAAGTATACACGAGCGCGTCTACCGGAGGGTTAAACAAGTTGTAGCAACATAGCGATAATGTTAATGAGTGGACCTTTAGCATGCAATGATACAAAAATGAAAAAAAAAAAAAAAAAAAAACAAAATGAGAAATACAAAAAAACACAAAAATTACATTACAGGAAGTGCCCACACCTGATTCATTCTGGTCGATTTCTGCTGCCTTTATAGCATCATTCAGTCTTTGATCAAACCACTGTTTATATTGTCTATATTTAATTTCCCCATACTGCTTTAGAGCTGGATCTGTTTGTGTTTACCCATTGTTTACATCTATAATTCTTTTACCTTGCACATTTATTTACTTAAATAATTATGCAAGTATTGATACTCACCAATCTCTATTTTGTCTACTATACTATTTTTCACTGATAATAATGTTCCACGAAAATTTTGCCATTCACTTTCCTCTGGCAACCAGTCATTTAACCAGCTCAAGTCTGGTAAAACTTCTTTCCATTGCTCATATTTCTGAACAGAGAATAATAAAGCAAGATTTTAATGGGAAATTCTAGAGACAAAAATCAAGAATATCAATTTGTCGATCGAGGCATCGTTAAAAAGTTATTAAAAAATTTCAAATCATTCACGGAAAAATTATTTTCGTTTGCGGGGGTCAATTACGATCATTCTTGGTGAATAGACGCTCCCCCGAAATCCTACGTATTTTCGAGAAAAAAATTCGTTACTGAAAATATGCAGCGTGGCCAGAAATGTTTCTATAACTTTTTAAGGAAGCTTCAATCAACAAATTAGTATCTTTGATTTAAATCTTATTTTGGCCTCTACAATCTCCCATTAAAATTTTTCCCAGGGGTAGCCGAACACCCTGTACATACCAAATTATTTAAATCAGACTTCTGTAATTATATTATTTTTACCTTTTGTAATGTTACTCCACTACCAACTGCACCTCCCAATATAAGATACCGAATTTTCAATGCTCCTCTTAAAACTCTTCCAATTAACATGGCATACATGCGGTTTGGCTTTCCAAAATAACGTAGATGTGGTGATGATAATAGTGGCCTATAAATTCTGTTCATTCTGCCTGATGTCAAGTTCCTTGTACTGACAATAGACACAGGATATCGGGACGTCTTCGAGATCAGCAGAATGCTGTTCCTGGAAAATAGAGAACACTTCATACTTCACACATGAAAATATGTAAATCAGATTTGTGTTTTACATAATTTTTTTTTGTAAAAAATAAGAGAGGGCAAGTAATTAACTGCATTAGAATAAAGTTGGATGAACAATTAAATACTTGATTAAAGGAAATTTTGACAGTTTCAAAGATTCGCTCTGATGTGAGAGCATAACCTAAAAGTTGCGAAACTTGGCACATAAACAGGCAAGTACAAGTATGTCACGAAACTTAATATAGATCGTAAGTAATTCGGAAATTGTATTTCCCATTTTTTATAAGTTCGCCACTTTGGAAACTTAAATGATCTTACCCTATCTTGCCACAAAGAATTTGTTTCATTTTATGGGATACTGCTCAGCGGTATGATGTGAAAAACGATTATTAAAATATACTCTTTTTGGCGATATACATGTAGTATATTAAATCATGAATGTAAAACTTCTCTAAAATCAATCGTACTGTGATGCTTAGATTAACAATTCATCATTTCGTACTCCGACCTGTTTCAACAAGGCGCACGAGAATCGTAAAAGGGGATATACTGTTGGATAGTGGATACTATGAAAGCACATGCGTAAAAATATTTAGTATCCAGTGCTTGCAAACCGAATGAATAGTTCTAGATTTCGACCAATCACGTTGCGACAGTCGTACAGTCAAATAATCGTGACAAATTCAAAATTGCCTCGCTAATAGTTTTAGAAATGTAACGAATGGAAAGTACGTTTTCAATATGCATTAAAGAAGACCTATTTGTCACAGTTAAAATAAAGATTCATCTTATTTACAGTTGTAAAAATGATAAATATGTACGTGTTTTTATAGCTTTTTAGATTAGAATTTGAATTTTACCTGTGGAACAATTAAAGCTGGAACTATTCAAATATTTGAATATTACTATTCCGACGATTAAACGCGACGTATGCCCCTTAAATGAACAAGTTCAAAATCAGCGACATGTTTCTGCTACTTCTTCCGCCGATGTAAGGAATAAATGTAACAAAAATTTAATCTCGTATAACCGAAATACCCACCATATCGACACGAATATAGAATGTAACATGTTACTATTATAAAAGGGATTTTTAACAAATAACTTTATCAATTTTTCTTTTTCATTTTAATAGTATATATATGTATGTATTAACAAGTTATCTTCGTTTCTATCTAGTGTTGACTATAATTACTTTCAAGAAGAGGGCTCTGATCAATTCAGATTTATTTAAGTTCACTTTAAATTTGCTACATCAAAGCTATTTTCCGTGTACCACACTTTGACATACCCTGTACATACACGTTACAACGCAGAATAATGTATAAAATTCTACCATTTTGCCTTCTTAAAGAAGCTAGTCTCGCAAGCAAGGTTTCCCATTCATTCTATAATATATACCATCAGTAGTGATTCTTTAATGATTTTATTTTCCTTTGCAATCCTTATATTACAAAACATACTTTTCCAGACACATTGAAAATATGCTCTATGTACATCGGATTGTTGCCTAGATTTTTTGTGCTAAACATTTTTATGTCGTCGCTGTTGTTCTGGTTGTTTATCTTTACAGGAATAATATTAATAACTATTCGCATAGGCTTTCGTATATAATATGATTATGGCAGTACATTTACATTAAAGTCTATGTTTTTTTTTTTTATTCATTTCTGTTATACATTCAATTATTCTCTCGTATTTATATTCATATTTATATATACCTTTATTCATTTATTTATATATTTATATATGCATATATATACATATACCGTATATACATATATATATATACATATATATATCATATGAAAATCTACGGTACTTAGAATTATGTGCATCAACTAGGCGTACGAAAGGAAAGTTTCTATTTCTTTCTCCTTGCGTTTATCATAAGCTTCACCCTTAAATACGCGGCGATCATCAAACTTATTGATGACGCGACATGAGATCTAGGAATTCGAACACATCAAACAGAAACAAGAGGTTTTGTATTTAATGGTCAATGATGCGCTAAGCAGTTCCTCGAAAGTAGATTTCGATTCTGACGCTCGCAAAGAAAGCAATTGCCAGGCCGTAAAATAACCGGCGGAGTTTCCGTTTGTCAAATTTTGCGATATGTACGAATCACAAAAAAAAGCCGGCAAAAGCGCGCTACTTGATTGGACCCTAGTTTTACATCGTCCTTCAAGAGTCAAAAATCAGCTGTTATCGTCCGTTCTCTCTGTTTTATACATCGCAACACGTTTTCCCTTCCGTTTTTCTTGTTTTTCTTGTTTTTGTTTTTTGTAATTTTACCGATCGGTTACCCGAAGATCCGCTATGTTAACTAAAACGATACAAATGTCCTAGGTATTGTCTAAAGGTGCTCTTTTTCATACATTTTTTTTTCTGTTTCTTTTAATTTCCGCTATTTCTCACATTCAGTCTAATGTTAGATTATATTTATAGTATTTATAAGAGCTTGGAATCATTATATCCTTAACGTAATACGAGCTTGCTTTTTATCGTTAACGCCAAGCTGCTATGTACAGGTTGCCATTTTCGTTACGCAACTCTGTTGCCTCGGTCTCGCCCCGTAAAAATGAACATCACGCGTCTAATTGCCCCAGACGCGTTTCGCAACAACGAACAAATGATATTTCGAATTTCCCCTTGGCAGTACGTCCCATTTTGTTAATCGTTCGATGGAACAAATAAGCGTCGATTGTATAAATTTAAGCGTCCTGTTTCTACGGCTAAGATCATCTGCCATGAATTAAAGAACATTTAATGGAAAAAAAGAAAAGAACTAAATTCGCGCAATCGCGTAATGTCGTATACTTGAAAACGAATAACGAAGAAATCTATTAAAATAACAAATTGTTCTGGCCTACACGATAGTCTTTCATTCAACTGTCTCGAACTTCCTTTTAACCGTCTAATTGTGAACATTACAGACACAAACCGATTACGAACTGTTCCTTAGTCGGTCGTTCTTCAACAAAAGTCGACGATTCGATCTCCTGTTGCTACCTAACAACGGACTCGACTGTTCCGATGAACTCAATTTCTTCGTTCACCTTCACGAATCTAAGACTAGTATCAAAAGTCCTAGTTATGCTACACCTGTTTAGAAAAGTCTGTTCTATTTATCTGAACTGTAATCTTGGTATGCACGCGCGAAGAGAAACAAAACGATGTATTCCTCTGAGTGTTTCTACATATATATTCTTGAAATGCGTATCAAAATCGTATCGGTTTCATTTTTCTTTTCGCCCCTTTGTCGTTTATCGAGCAATTTTTCTTTTCTTTCGCCGGTGTTGTTACTACTCTCTTCTGGGGATCACTGACAATTCAGTCGTATCTCGGTATTTTCATTTATTTCATCAACCGTTTCAACAAACCTCCATGTAAAACACGTATCAAGAATTGCAGTCGTATTTTAGGTGCGTCGTTGGCTTCTGATTTCAGTAAAGAAACTGTGTCAAGAAGCTCGGTAACGAGACGCGAATCTGAGGTGTGTTTCATTCCAAGAATTGCGATCATCGTTGTTTCTGGATCATCCAATGATCGAGCAATGTTTCCCTGGTTTTAAGTAATGACACGCTGCTCCAGCGGTTCCTAGTCACTTCAGTCATGAAACACGTATCAAGAGGTGCTGTTTCTGTGCTTTTTGCTTTTCGCTTTTCCGGGTTCGAACTCGTCCTCGCTTCTCCGTCGTTTTTCCTTCAACTGTTTCTCCATGGCAAGCATGGTTATCATCCTCTTGTGAGAGTCACCGACGATCCAACCGTGTTGTTCTTGACGATCGTCTTCCTCCTCCTCGATCGCGGGAACCACCTCGAGCATCTCTTCCTCGTCGCTCGAACTGGACCAATAATACAACTGATTAGCAGCAGCACGTTTCCGTCGACCAATCGCCACTCCAACACCTTCCTCGACCTTGTTCCAAGACTTAGTCGTCTTCAGTTCCTCGTCGTCGGAATCTCGTCTACCACTGGAGGATCTGCGTTCTTTGTCTCTCGATCCCTTCGAGTCCGTTCGGTTCTTTGGCTTGTCAACCATCGGATTTTTACACTTCTTACTCGCGGTCGAGACTTTCGCATCCCCTTTTGGATTCTTTTTCGATTTCGTCGGGGACTTCGAATGTTTCTTTTGCTTCACAGAGGGTTCCTGGTTGTTTTCGGTCTCGTGGTTGGTCTCCGGGTGCGTGGACTTGTTGGAATCGATCTCCAGATCGCTCGTACCTTCGTTGTTCTTCTTAACGCAAACATCTTCCTCCGTTTTGTTCGGTTTCTTCTGTTTCTCCTTCGCCTGATGTTTCTTCTTCGGCGTTTGTTCCTGAACAGTTTTCTCATCGAACAGTTCCGTGTTTTCTGGCTCTTCTATACCGTTGTAGTCCATCTGCGGGTCGACGGAATTCTGTGCAAGAGACTCTTTCTTCTTCCCGAGCTCCCGCAGGATCTCCTCTTCTATGGCCTTCTGTTCCTTGGCTATCATTTGTTCGTGCTTCTTTTCAATGTACCTCTCTTTTCGTTTTTCCTTCGACTCCCTTTTCTGTTTACGCGGCTTCTCGTGGTCCGGTTTCTCGTTGGTCTTTCTACTGTCCTTCAGGCTTATTTCCTCGTCCGAACTGCTTATTTCTGCCAGCAGACCCTGCTTGCCGATGGCGCATTTCCTCTGCCTTCTGGTCGGTTGAAAATCCATTAAAATCCTTTCCTGTTCCTCTTGCATTTTTCTTAACTGCTGCTCCTTCCTCTTCTTCGACTCCTGCACCTTTCTGCTCAGGAACACATGTAGCGGAAGATTATCAGACTCCTTCTGCGGTTTCTCGTTGGTCGACAGCTTTTCTGGTAAAGCGAGAAGATCGTCGTCCTGCTCCTCTTCCTCCTGTTCTTCCACGCGACTAGGGCACTTCTCTATCGATTCCTCTATCGGATCGAACGTTTCGCTCATGAATTCTGTCGTCACCACCGTGTCGATATCCTCCATAGGTCTCGCGTCCTTGTTCATACCATCGTATTTCATTCCCAGATCGTTCTCCGCCTGATCCAAAAGATCCAAGGCTTCTTCCAACGGAATCAACTCGTCGTCCTGCATGAAGTCGGTTTTATTACCATCGTCCCTCTCTTGCGACAAAACTGGACTATGGACTCTACACTCGTCCGCTATATTCTGAGACTCTGTGATCGTCGGCTCCTCGATATCCGTATCGGCGATCGAACTGTCCTCCCTGTACAAATCGTCCAACGAGAAGTTCCCTTCGTACTGGTTCTCAGTTTCTTCGTCGGTGTTCCTCTGATCGTCCATGTCCTTCCTCTCGTCGATGACCAGAGGCTGATCCGACATCTCCGACTCGGACTTCTTATTGTCGCAGTCGTTTTTATTAACGTCGTTCTTCGAATCGTGATCCTCCCAGTCGTCCACGCGATCGTCGTTCTCCGAACAGTATTTGCTATCCGGTTCCTGGCTCTGCTCGACGCTTTCCAGCTCCGCGGTCTCTTTCGTGCATTTGCTCGCTTTCAGCTGCCTCTTCGCCTCGTAGTCCGCGTCCTCGCCGTCGAATTCGCTCTCGGACGAGGTGTACAGCTCCGCGAATATGTTCTGTTTACCCTTGGAGCAGGTTCTCTGGCTCTTGGAGATCCCCACGCCGACACCCTCGGTCTTCACCGCGATTCTGTACTCGTCGGAGCTGTCGTTCTCGTACCAGGCGTTCCTCGGCCTCTTCTTCGGATTTTTACTGCGCTTCTTCAGCTTCGAGTGCTTCAGATTCGGTTCCATTTGTCGTTTCGGCCGCGACTGCTTCCTCTCGATGTAGTCGTCCATCGGCCCGGTAATCTGTCGCTGTTGCTCCTCGCTCTGGAACGACTTCAACGCGCCTTTCGTTTTCGGGGCGAATTTCTCCAATTCCTTGAACTTCCGGTCTATCATCGATTCGAGTCTGGTGCTCAACGCCTCGCCGGTCTTTCCGTTCTCCAAACTCTCACCGATGGCCTTGGTCATCAAGCCCGCGACGTCGACCTCTTTGGATCTCAGGCAGCTCACCTCGTAACCTGGTCTACTTCTGTACGACATCACGCTGCCCAAATTAGGCTCCATTTGACTCTCCTCCTCGTCGAAGTCGTAGACATCTTTTATTCGGTTCGACGCGAACTCCTCCTTCCGTTCGAAAGTGTCGCGACGCTTCTTCCTCTCTACCAAACCTCCGTGCTCGCTGCGACGAATCAATGGGAACTCCTGGTGTTTCTTGGTCTTTTTCGTCTTACGCTGCCTGTGCACGTTCAGCTCCCGAAGTGCCGCCTCGCTCTTCGACTTCTCTTGCTGCTTACGCTCGTTCATCTCCTTCTTTTTCTCGAACAGCTCCTTGATGGGGTTCTTTATCTTTTTCTGTTGCTCTTTGGAAACGATTATCGGGCTTGGATCACGAGTTGAATCCTTGTGCAGGGAAGAGGCCTTCGCCGGCTCGACGTCGTCTTGAGACGCTGGATCCCCAGCCGTGGACGTTGGCGCTCGAGCACACGCCAGCTCTGCCAAGACCTTCATCGGTGTAGACCCACTGTGGACAGAATTATTATCGTGTATACTGATAGAAGTGGTTCTTCGATTCAAACATAACGCTATGACAAATGGAAAGTGATTTAATCCTTGATCGATTACTTAAATACTATTTTGAAGAATACTATAGCTAAATGAAAATTCAATCTTGGAAGTTTAAGCTTCTACGCAATAGCATTCGGTGTCAATGCGAGTGTTAGATAGTAATGGATTTACAGCCATTTGGTGCATATTTATTTTCCCGCGTTTCCGTTCGGAGGTTGCAAATATATTGCCAGACTGGTAATATACGAGAGAAACGTTTCTCCTGCTAGCATTTCCATCGTAACTGGATTGCAGTTTGGGCAAATAACGAACGTCAGAACGTATATTCTCGCCAGTGTTACGCGGAGTTACCCTGTCGCGTGTGGGTGGAGTGACAGGCTCAGATCAATACACAATACGAACGAATAGGAAACCGTTCAACGATGGTCGTTAGCTTTGCTTCTTATTTACTGTTATTTCTGTTCCAACTATTCGACTCTGTCCGGATGCTTGGCCAGCTCGAAAACTTGAGCGCAGTTCGTGCATTCCCCAGACTCGAGGTCCGGAATTTTGGAAGCACCGCGGAATTCAAAGACCCGGAGCACCAGTGACACAGATCCGGAGACCTTGCGATCTAGCGAACTAAAAATAGTTCAGATATACCGAGAGTGGAGGATTTTACAGTTTGGAGATTAAAGAAGTTTTTATTCGAATCGACCATCTTGAACTCGAGATCGACAAACCGCAGATTTAACGCAATGTCTACCAGTTTTTGAAACAGTTTCACTCTATCAACCGACTGAACAAAAACAAGAAATTACCGAGCCGATTAAGGGTGCAATCAACAGGTGTGGAGATGAAAAACTGGTTACTTGACGTTCGATCCATTGTGCAAATTGCATTTTTCACGGGAGGAGGTATTCGTAACAACAAACGTTTGAAAGTCGTGATTTTCAGGCCTCCAGTGAACGAAGCTAGCTAGAAACCGATCGTCGATTCCGTTGATTAAAGTAAATCACTCACTTGTGATCGTGCTTCCCATTGCTATGCAACAAGTTGGACAACGCTTTGTCCAACAAACCACCCAGCGCTGAGTTCATCTTGCTTTTAAAGCCAGAGGAGTCCAGGTTCATCTTTCCGGCGTTGGGCTGTTCCTGCAAACTTCTGACGTGCAGATCGTCGTTGTAGCCACCGTTCGAGAGATTCCCGCCAGACGGATGTCCCTGGTCCTGCGGATGACCGTACGAATTCCTCGTAGCGTCCTGTTCGTTGCTTTTGACGGGACGTTCATCGCCCGCGATCTCGTTGCTGCTCTTCTGGCCAAATGTGCTGGCTATCAGGCTCTCGCTCTCCCTCATGCGCTGCTGGATCTTGTCCCTCAGCTTGTTGTTGTGCTCGAACGCGACGTCCAGGCTATCCTCGTACCCGAGATTATCGGCTCGGGACATGTCCGGGCTGGCTGACCTGCTGGAGTGCTCGCTTCTCAGGTTTCGACCGCCTCGTTTCGGGTAATCCCTTTCTCTGGTGCTGTACATCTCTTCGCCCAGCAGCTGAAACGCGTTCAAACCGTGAATATCAATCGATCCAAGCTCCGAGACGACTTTAAATAAAAAAAACCTGAGCACCTTAGAGATCTATTCCGTGTACGCACAAAGTGGACCATTACAGAGATCGGAAGAGTCTTTGATCTTTCACGCGTGATCTGCACGAATTTTAGAAGCTCTTTTGAGAACTTGAAATGGGCCACTTTGTAGCACGCAACGTTATAATTTACAATCCAGGTTAATTAAATTGGATCTTCCGATCGTAACGGTAAAATTTCTTTGAAAATGTTTGTTGAACAATTAAAAAAAAAAAATATTCTAGGAGCCCTTCGTTCTGGTGCGTGTAATGTTAATATGGTCGAGGTGAGTTAGTAATGTCAAGCTGAACATTATTTTCTATTAAAAAAGGAGAAAAGGTTTTAACCCTTTGGAAACGTGTAGAATAATTAATGAATATTTCAGCGAGTGGCGAACAGAGAATGCGCTTTATTATGAAATTCAGGAAAGTGATTAGAGCTGTTTAATAATGCCCAGCATCGGTTACTCGCAATGGTCGTTAAACGATTTTATTCGACAGACACTACAGTATTGTCCGAATGGCAGACGAATGTCGTAACTACCGTACACACTAAGAAATGTCGAAGGAATGAGAGAACTACCTTTTGCATGCATACTGAGAGACATTGTCTGTATAAAGCTGGTTCATAGGTCCTGCAAACATTACCACAATAATGTATAGAGTATTCCCTTCCTGGAATTCCATGTAAGGGTGTAATCCATTTCGTTACCGAATCTTTATTTCTGGAATATTTAAACAACAGTTTAAGTGAGTTTCACGGAACAATTAAATGGCGTTTCATGAAGGAATTTTGCTATTATATAAATACAATCATCTGTCTCGATCATTGAACGGGTCAAATAAGAATTTTACGTCGTGAAAGTCGAAATCATTATCGAGGAAACACCCCTACAAGTAAAAATTCCATGAGCATGTATGTATAAGAAAACGAAACCTGCAGAATTAAAAGCATTTTTTTTATAGACCGTACAACGTATGTAAGATCACAAAGCAACAGAAACAGAAATTTACGGCATGCAAGGTGAAGAGTTATCGTGAAACAGTGTACGAATTTGTTAAAAACATTCTACGAACAAAAAGCATATCCGAACGTGACAGTTTCTCGTAGTGTAAAACATTTTGCCAACTTACCTTGCATTCTCAAAACTATAAGAACTTATCAAACACATATTTATTACGATTAAACGCATAAAAATAAACCTACGATAGGTTTCTACTCTTTTAGAGCTATATCATTCCCATTAATAATTTTTTAATCGTTCTTAACGAAAAACTACAATACTAAGTTGACGCAAAGATTGAGCTTTCTTAATCTACAGAAGTCTATTTTTCTAATTATCAGAGATTACTAACAGTCTTTCCAGTCAACTCAATACCAAGTTTCACACATCATCGAACCTCCTTTTCACCTATATACGTTTCCTAGACCAAACAACGGAGCTCTAAAATCTCAAAGGCATGCGATCCAACGGAGCACACTACACAAATACTCACCTGATTCACGGATTCCAGCAGGCTTCCCAGACTATTTTGGCTCTCGACGTCCCTCCATCGATCTCTGGGCCCCCTGAACCCTTGCTGCTGCTCGTCCTTTCTGTGATAGCCTTCGTTGTGGTCCAGCTTGATCTTCTTGGCTCCCCTGAGCTCGTTCTCGGTGGTAGCTTTCAACCTGGAGCAACATTCGACGAACAGCTCCTCGTCGAAGTTCAAAACCTTCCCCTGTCGAGGCTTCGCCGTCTCTATCTCCTGAGGAACGTCTAGAGCGTTGTCCTCGATGGCGTCGGTCGGCGCGATGGTGACCATTTCGGTTTTATGGGTCGAGGCAGGCGATCTGATCACGATCTTCTCGCCGGAGAACTCGCTGGAGCTTCTTTTCCGTGCTGCAGTCTCGCTCGCGGGAGCATTCTCGTCTTCCTCCTCGTTCTCGCTCTCGGAGCTGCTGTCCATGGAACTTCTAGGCGTTCCACAGATGAACAAAGGCGATATCCTTCTGTGGTCCATCCTCATCTCGTCCCTGTCGTCGTCGTCGAAGTCGGACGAATTCCTGGTCGTTTGGGAATTTCTGTCCGGACTCGGTGATCGGTTCCTCACGCTGCTGGGAGCCGCGCTGCTGCAGCTACGGGAAGATTCCAGGTCCACCAACAACGGGTTGTCGGTGGTTTCACGTTCAGGAAGATCCTTCATGAAACAGTCGTCCTCGTCGCCGGATACGTTGGCGTTCTTCTCGGTTTCTTTCTCTGACATCATCAGGTCCCTCCAATCCTCGTCTTCGTTCTTGCTTTTACCCTTTCTGAAGCTCGATTTCCTCCTCTTCGTCAGCTTGTGATCTTCCTCCACTGGTTCCTCCGAGGTCCCCTTCGAGCTATCCTTGTCGCAGCTGAACGACCCGTAGCCGTTATCTTTCACGCTCGAGTCAGATTTACCTTGGTTTCTCAATTCGTAATTGACCTCCTTCTGTTTCGACAGTTTCTGATCCTTGCCGACGTTGGACTCCGACAGTTCGTCCTCGAAGGCCTTCGAGATCCTCTCCTCGGCTCGTTTCTTGCTAGGTCTGCAGCTGGTGGGCGGCAGAACCAGGAAGTAATAGTTGGTTGCCTCCACGTCGCTTTTCTTCCGATTGTTCGTACCGTTCTTCGACTTGGAGTGCTTTCCAGAACGATGTTCCTCCAGACTTTCGGTCATCGAGTTTCTCTCTCTGGTTCTATCGGTGGAGGAATTCTTCCTCGACTTCTTCCCCGAACGTTTCCTCGTGCTGGAAGACGCGGTCGACGAGACAGAATGTCGTTTCACGTTTCTATCCTCGTTCTTCGGATCCAAGGAGTTATCCGATTTGTACTCGGTTCTCGACATGTTCGAGTCCTCCTCCGACTTGGACACCCAGTCGTTCAACACCTCCTTCACTTTGTCCGCCTTTTCACCGCCGAAGACTCGACCAAACACGCTCTTCACGATTTTGTTTTTGTTCTGCGACTCCATTTTGTCCTCGTTCTCGCTGCTGTCGCTGTCGCTGGTCAGATCGGCCATCTTGCTCCTCAGAGCGGCCTTTCTGCTCCTGGATCTTCGGTGGCCATCCTTGCCAGCGTATTTGTGCGTCCTCGTCTTCTTGTTCAGACTCTGACGATCGTTGTTGCTCGATTTACGACCACTGCTCACCGTCTTCGTTTCCCTGTTCTCTAAAATAGCTTTTGATTTTGGAGTCGTCTCGTCCTTCTTGTAATCCGACGAAATCTTTGCGTCCTCGTCGGAATCCTCCGCGGTTTTTAAACCATCGAGCTCGCATTCTTCCTCGGACGCGATCCGGGACTCGACTCGTTTGACATCGTTATCGTTCGATTCCTTGTCAGACTTTTGATTATCCATCGATTCGTCCATGTTTCTCGAATTCTCGTCCAAGTTGAACTTCGTTCTCGAATTCGCGTCCTCGATTTCCGCGCGTTCTTCCAGTTTCGATTCATCGCGATCCTTCATGAAGCTCAAGGACGCTTCTTGTTCCTTTTCATCCGTTCTCGATAAAACCTGCGACAAAGGTTTGTACGCGAGGCTCGACGACGACGAGGCTTCGTCCACCTCCAGAGGATACAAGGACTCGATTTTATCCTCGCGATGGTCCTCCTCGTTTTCATCCTTACCGATCTCCACTCGTTGCGCGTCCACCGTTTCCTTCAACGAAGCTTTCGCGTCGGAACAATACGTCTGCTGATTTTCAACAATTTCTAACTCGTCGGGATCGCGTTCAGTTTCGTTTTCCGGCTTCCCAAGGCTGGTCGAGTCGTCAACTTTGTCGGAATCGTTCCCGAACCGCGAGTTCGACGACGGGGATTCTGGCTTCGCGATTTCGCAGTCGAACGTTTCGGAACAGTTCGTCGAGGTTTGATTGTTTTCCGTTTCTGGAAGCTTTACAATTTCGTCGAGGACCTGCCAGTTCTGATTACCTTTGGATTTCGATGCTTTCCGTGAGGACGAAGGACTCTTCGCCTCCTCAAGGCGCTTCTTGGTTTTCCCCTTTTTCGATTTCCCGTGACGCGTCGTCCTCGTGGACGCGTTTCTTGGACTCACGGAGTCCGCCATTTTACTCTCAGCCTCGGTTCCTCCGTCCAACTGGTGCGTCTCTTTTTCGAAATTTTCTACGACGCAGCGATCCGTTTGTTGCGTTTTCAGATTCTCAACATCGTCCGTATCCCTCCCTTTCGAATCCTCGTCGGAACGATCGCTTTTAAGTTTGCAGCGGTTTGTCTCCTCCTCCCTCTGTTGGTTGCATCGATCGCCAACAGAGTCGAAACTCTCGAATTTAGCGTCAGATCCGCGAACAACGTCTTTCACCTCTCTGACGCTCTCGATATCAGGTTCTTTGGAGCGTTCTATACTACGTTTGTTTATGATGAACTTTAGGCTCAAACGTTCGTGCGGCGGAGTTTCTTTCACCGCAACTTTGTCATCCGAAACGCTTGATAAATTCTCAGTCTTTTTATTAGGATCTCCTTTTAATTCGATTACTTCCTTTACGGAATAGCTCACTTCCTCGGTTTGTTTCACCGCCACCTCCACCTCCATATCCGAATTCTGATCGTGACGATCGCTGATGGAGGTGATTCTTTCCTGAAAATTGTCTGCTTCCGGCACAGAGGCGTTTCTCTGTTCCGAATGGTTCGAGGAGTCTGCGAGCAAAGAATTGTTCTCCAAAGCAGCCGTGGCTGTCGGAAGAGTCTCCGACGTGTCTTTCGAACGCGAAGCAGTCGAGATTCTGATAGACATACTCGTCCCAAGAACGGTCAACACCGTCGAGTCCAAGTGAGTTTCCGGCTCCGGAGTGTCCAGCGTAAGATGCTCGTTGACGGCGTACTTTTTCTTCCCCTTTTCTTTCCTCTTGGCGTGTTTCTTCTTCTTCACCGTCTCTTCCGTCTTCTTGACCACTGGTTTGATGGGTGTGGACGTGGACTCTGGCGCTGGGCTCGAATGCTCCGTGAGCACGTACTCGTCGTGGCTCATATTTTCCGTGATCTTGCATATCTCTTCGTCCAGGAGTTCGTCTTCCAGGCTACGCTGTCGAGTCACTTGGGCATCAATCAGGAATCCCTGCTCGATAGAGGCTGCGTAACACGAGTCGCCCTGGACGCCTTCCAACTCTCTCGAGCTATCAAGGATCGTTAGATCCTCTTCTTTCCGGTCGTCCTTCGACTCTTGAGAAACGCTGGCCGACTCGTCGGGACTCTTGTTCCCGTCGTTGGACGTTTCGTTGTGACTGGACGTCTCGTTGTCCCAGCCAATGTTGCAACCCTCCTCCGTGCTGTCGTCGGACGTCTTGTCCTTCTTGGATTTGGTCATTTGCACCAAGTGCGACTGAGACAGGTTGTGCTTCTTCAGGGAACTCTTTCTGGTGAAGCTGGTCGTGCATACGTCGCAGAAGAACCTGGCGGCCTCTTTCGTCAGTTTCTTCCGCTTCTCGACGATCAGGATCTCGCCAGTCTTCTTGTGGACGACCACGAAGTTACCAGCCGCCCGTTTCTTCGGAGTCTGGAAGTCATCCTGCACCTGAGCGCCACCAGATTTCTCGTCCTCCTTGGAGTCCTCTTCGTCGTTCTCTTCGATAGACGTATCAGGATCCTCCGTTGCGTTCCCCTCTATCGCGTTCTCCTCCGTTGCATTCTCTTCTATCGTGCTCTCCTCCGTAGCGTTCTCTTCCATCGTACTCTCCTCCGTAGCGTTCCTTTCCATCGTACTCTCTTCCGCCACGTTCTCCTTCGCAGCGTCCCCTTCCGCCACCTGCTCGACTATCGCGTTCTCTTCGCCCTCGACTTTCGAAGCTTCGTCCACGATCTTTTTATCCTCCGCTTTATCCTCCACTATCAATTTTTGTTCCAGGTCCACGTCCTTCGGAGGGTCGTCCTGCCGCAGGCACTCTTGAATATCCAACGGAATGTCGAAATCGTCTACGAGGTCGAACTGATACTCGAAGAACGATATATTTTTCTTGGCCCGTCTCTTCAGGCTTTGCCTCCTGTCGGTGTTCTTCTCGGCGTCGACGGACTCCGAGTCCGTGACGGAGGTGTCCGTCTGCACGTCCTCCGCGGGCACCTCGAAGCCTTTCTTCTTCTTCGAGAACCGTTTCTTCCTGAAGTAACTGGACTCGCTGGCGCACGAAGTCTCCGACAGATTGTCCACACTCTCCGCCCGGTGGTTCAGAGTCTCTTGATTCGACAGATCCTCGGACGACAGTTGTTTCCTCCTGGAAGACCTCGTTCTGCTGGACTGCGCCAGCTCGATGGATCCCGACGAGTTGGATCTCTCCAGATCGAGCTGGTCTTTGTTGAAGTTTCTGGAGGAACGTCGTCGACCCTCGGACGAATCCTTTTGGCTCGCGTTATCCGATTGCTCGTCCTTCTCGACCGAGATCCTCCTCGTCTCCGAGCTCTCCGTTTCGGATTCCACGGGAGGGACCACCTCCGTGTGCTCGTCGGTCGTTGACTTCCTCTTGTACGTTCTCTTCTTCGTGAGCTGCAACACCTCCGTCACTTCCGGGATCTTAAAATGCTCCAGACTGGGCGTCAGCGAATCCATAGAGTCGCTGGGAGCCTTCGTCTGCTCGGCTTCTTCGTTGAACCGATTCGATCTTAGAGACTTCCTGTTGGAAACCTGTTCGGCGGCGTCCGTTTCGATTTCCACGGTCTGCATTTCCGGTTTAGAGTCGGGGTCCTCTCGAGGAATAGCGTTCGTAGCCTCCGTGGCCAGAGATTTCTTCCTGCGATTACGCTTCTTGAACGTCTTCGAAACAGTCTTTGCATCCTTTAGCGGCCATTTTGAATCAGTTTCGGGAACGTCTTTCGCCGCGTCTTCTTTGCTGGCCTTTGGTGTCTCCGGGTCGTTCGAAACGGCGGTTTCTTCTACTTTGTCCGCGTCATCTTTTGCGGTACACGTTGATTGCAGGAGAGAAGCATCGTCCTTGAAAGATTCGCGTATTTCCGGCGAGTCGTTCGTTAGCAATTTATCCGCTATAATTTCGTTACTGCTCTCGACTTCCTTTTGGACCTTCTCTTCCTTCTGGATATTGAACTTCGTTCTGGAAGACCTTCTTCTTCTCGTCGTCTCGGGCGTTGCTTCGTTTGCGACAGATTCGACCTTGGACGATGATTCTTCCTCGGAAGGTTGGCTCTTCTCCTCCGAGAGCGACTTCCTCTTCGAGATTCGCCTAATCAGAGATTCCGTTTCCAAGTCCTCGTTCGCTGTTTCGATAATAGTTTCTCTTTTCCCCGTCACTCGCGATAAAAAGGAGTCCTTTTCCTCGTCAGAAATCTTCATCGAGTCCTCGATGCTGTTCTTCGCGGTCCTCGACTCGTTCGCTTCGTCTCTCGTTGCGTCCGTTTTGCGTTTCTTCGCGCCATCGGTGCAATCCGTGTTCGTCTGCGTATCCTTGGTTGCTTTATCGTTCAACAAATCCTTCGTTTCCGATTCGTCGTTCAGAGTTTTCCTCTTACCAGGTTGAACACGTTCGCCAACGACTTCGGAAGACGAACCATTTTCAATGATTTCTTTGGTAGAATGCACTTCCTTCGATCTGTCGATCAGCTTCATAATGTCGGAGAGATTCAACGCTTCCGGAACCAAAGTCTCGGAGTTGTCCTCAGGTTCGATGGACTTTCGTTTGCTTTTCTTTGGCGAGTTTCCCTCCAGCGATCGTTTCTTCGATTTCCTCTTCACCTTCGCGTCCTCGATCGCTGCACCGCCATCTTGTTTCACCGATTTGTCTTCTTGGTCCGGCGAACGCGTCTCTTCTGTACGATTTGGCGTAGATTCCACGACACTGCCAGAGTCAGGCTCTAAGGGAACGTTCTCTCGAATCGCTAGGTCCTCCGTACGCTCGTCTTTCGAGCAATTATTTCCATCTTCGTTGACAGATTCAACTTCGACCTGTTGACCGGAAGAACTGATCTGCCCATCGTCGTTAATTATTTCCTTCGAAGGTTCTTCTTTTTTTTGCTCGCTCTCGATCGCTGGTACCTTAGACTCCAAGTTTTGATCAGACCCCAGCGAGAGATCCTGGCAGTCGGACGACTTCTCGATCTCCTCTCTGGCAACGTGACTTTTCTTAGCAAGTTTAGAATTCTCTGCGTTCTCCGGAAGTCCAGGGCTCACTTCGTCCAGGATGCTCGTCAGTTCGTCGGCGGCTGTGTCCAACAAGGATCCAACCTCTCCCTCCAGCAGAGCGTCCTTTTGTTTGGCAATCTTAGAAACGATCTTCTCCAAGAACGAGCCTTTCCCTTTCTGCTTCCTCCTCGACAGATCCAAAATGATATCGTTGGTCGGCGAGCGTTCTCTGGCGTCGTTGGAGGAAGAGTCGACGTTCTTCTTGGTCAACGAGTCCTCCGCAGTCGCGTCTTTCGCAGAAACCTCCGTTGTTTGCGGTTTCGACAATTTGTCTTCTGGATTCTGAACGCAAGGTTTCGTTTCATCGGCTAACCTGTCGGAATCGTTCGTCGTTTCGGTTTTATCGGTTCTGTCCAGACTCAGCGACCTGGTTTCACCGTCATCGGACTGCTGAGCGTTGCTCTGAGGAACACCTTCGGGAGTCGCGTTCTCCAGAGTGGTCTGCACCGTCAGAACCACGCTCTGTTGCGACTCCGCGGGAATGTTCATTCCCTCCGTAAGGATACCGATCACGTTGTTCAACGATCTCTTCGACGTCCTTTCCCGTCGAGTTCCCCAGGACTTCCTGGGCCTGCCAACCTTCGATTTCTGAACACCGACTATAGTCTCCAACGAGTTCTCCTTGCCACTGTCTATGGAGTTGCTAGTCTCCAGTTGCAAATGATTCTTCAGATTCACGTTCTCCAAAGAGTCCTCCGGTTGGTCGTTTTTTGCAACGTTCGCGTCCTCCTCTTTCCCGTCTTTGACACCATTGTCGTCGTCCGGTGTTCGTTTGCGATCAGAGTTCGTCTCGCTTTCCCCGGCCTTGTCGACGACCTCGTTCGAGTTGCCTTTATCAACTTCCTCATTCTTCCTTCGCGAGACGTCGGCGTTCTTTTTATCAGAGGTGTCGTTGCTCGATTTAATGCGACCGCGTCTCTTACCGAGGGAGGTGTTCTTCTTCAGGGACATGTCGTTCAGCTCGCTGGAGGTTTCTTTGCTCTGAGTGTCCCCCTCGTTAGAGTTCAACAGAGAACCCCTCGTTTGCCTCTTGTTGCTCGTGTTCTCGTTATCGCCGCTCTGCTCCGTGATTTCGACCGTGGACTTGGTTTGATCGTCCTCCTCCGACGTTTGCTCCTCCGTTGATTTACTCTCTCCGGAGGAACTGCTGTTTCTCCTTCCTTTGATCGCCACCTTGATCTTGTTCGCCTCGTCCAGCGACGGGACCTTCTCTATCCTCTTCTCCGTGTTCCTCAAGGATTTTCGACGACGATCGATTTTCTCCTTCTTGGTGGTCGCCGCGGGGACGTACGAGGCCGATTCCGAATCTGCGCTCGCCGTTTCCACCTCGAAATCCTTCGGAGGCCTGCCTCTGCCTGGGCCCATCTTTGCTTTCGTCGCTTGTCTTAGGCAGCGCTTGGAGGCGGCTATTCGAGACGTCAGGACCAGTTTCGTGAGCAGGTCGTCCTTCAAGTCAGACCCCAGCAGTTTCTTCACTTCGAACGGGACGCTCTGGATATTGATTTTCCCGTCGATGTCGATCATCTTACCCTTCAGTTTGGAATTGCTCCTGGTCTCCAGCGTCTTTACTACCTCCTCCTTCTTCTGCTTCTCTTTCCGCGGGCTCGCCTCCTCGACGGTCGCGATACTCGCGGGGGCGCTTTTCCTCTTGATCTTCTCCTTCCCGCCTTTCGTCTTCTCCTTGGCGACGATGTTCTCCAGATTCTTCGCGTCGCTCTTCGCCCTTCTGGTCTTGCCCGGCTTCTGCTCCTTGTCCTCGTCCGGGGTGTCGCTAGCTGTCGCGAGTTTAGCCTCCGTTCCATCGACCTCGATCGTTTTCTTCGACCCGACGTCCTGACTCTTGCCGAACAGACTTTTGCCGCGCAGGATCTTCTCCGAGCCAGTGGATGGGGTGACAGGCGACAGGATCGGCAGGTCGTTCACCAAAGTCTCGACGTATTCGTCGCCCTGAGCTTGAACGGCTGGCTCCAACGTGGGCATCTTGTCGCTGTCGGACGACAGTCTGGTGGTCCTCTTGGGCAGCTGATCGCTGTTTCTGCCTCTGGCCAGCCCTCTGAGCTTCGACCTGGCGCTCGAAAGCTCCGTACCGATCTCGCTCACCTTGCCCTTGGCCCACTGACGCTGGCCAACCGGCGAACGCATCTCCGGGGACTTCTGAGGCGTCGTAGCTTTGTTGGGATTACGAGCGAATTTCCCGTCGTGCGTCCTCAGCTGCGACTTGGCCTTGATGGAGGCGTTCAAGGACGCCACAGGGTCTACCGGTCGTTTCTTTTTGGGGGTGGTCTGCAAGAACGATTTGTTTTTCGTCGACGAACCGGGAGACTTCAATTCCGCGGAACTGCTCGCGTCACTTTCCTTCTCGACGGTTTTGGGTACAAGTTTGAGGCTTTTGGGGGTCCTCGGGGCCTCGTTAGAGACGTCCGCCTTTGTCTCCGGTGCAGTTTTCGAGGTTGCTTTGGCTTTGGCCTTCAAGTTACCCGTTTTCCTCGGTTGCTCCACGTTTCTGATCGCTCCCTCCTTCGGTCTAACGTTCCTCTTCTTGCTGAGCACTCTGGGCCCTCTCGCGACCCTGGCTTTGTAGCCGGGATTGCCCTCCTCGAGTCTACCGTTCTCCTCCGTCTTTTCTTTGGCATCTTTCGCAACGTTCGACTTCTCGGACTCGCGCTTCTCCCCGTCAGACCTCGCCTCCTCCGTTTTGTAGTTCCTCACCACGCTCTCGATCACCGCCGATATGTTGTCGATACGGCACCGGTTCCGTTGGATCGACTTCGCGTTTTTCAGCAGCTTGTTCCTCAGCACGGCCTTGTTCCGGGACATTCGCGACGCTGTCGAATTATCACCGACCATACGACCGGGTCTTGATCTGGTTTGCACCTGTACAGATAGGTAAAACCTTCGTGGAACCATCTTCGTCGAATCATCGACGTTACAAAAGCTATCTATGACGATTTCTGTTCACTGTGTCCTTTCAACGTGACGACACACGCCGTTCAATTTCATAGGATCGAAATTAAGCATAGAACTTCTCGCGAAACCAACGAATTTAAAATAATTAAGAGTTACTAATTCAAACCGAACTTGATGAGTCGTAACACGAAAGATAAATATTACTGTACAAACTTCGTAAACGCATATTCAAAGATTGTCTCACACGAAGAGATTTGATTCTTTAAAAATAACTATTATTATTATTTAAATATTTCCCACATCGAAAGTGTCCCCGATGTTCGAGGTCTGGGTTCGTAATGTCTCAAGGACACTTCCACTAGTTACGCTCGATCGGTCCAAATCGGGACGTTGCCCTTCGATATAAGATTTCCGCAAAAAGCTCGTGGGAGGGTCCAACCCAGGGTTGGGAGGACGGAGAGGGGTGAGGTGGGGTAATCGTGCCAGTTTTCTTGTTGGAAGAGGGGACGTCGCCAGAACAGGCAAATCATCTTGTCCGTGTGATTGCACGACATATTCTATCCCTACGTGTCCGTGTTGCGTATGTGTGGTCTGGTAGGTGTGTGTGGGGGTGTCGTGTGTGCACGAGTCGACGGTCGTGTTGGGTGATCAATACTCCACTTATATCCGTGTCGTCCGGCGGGAGCCGGTCTCCGCGTTATTGCCTTATCATTATCGAGTTTCGTCTTTTTCGTTGCGACCCACGACGGACCAGCATTCGGGTCATCAGCCAACTGCGGCCGAGCGTAGTTTCGCTGGGTTCCTCGGTTCACCTAATTTCCAACCCGAACACTCGATGCCCCGGGTCACCTTCTGCATCATTTTCCCACGAATTTCTTGGCATTCGACGACGATTCGCGGATTGCTTTTACCAGTCTACGAGACGTTGGAAAGACGGTCGTTCTTCCCCCCGGGTCAAGGTTCACCGACGACGCAAAAACATCTCCCCAAATGGCGTCTCTTTGCAAAATCGTCGATCGATACACGGTACGCTTTGTTTTAAGAAAATGGCAATCTCGTTGGTATTTGTGACCGTCGCACCAAAGTGTGTCTCGCTATAATTTTAATGTGTTCCCATGGAGTGTATGTTTTGTTAAGTTTGTTAATCGGTAACATTGTGTTAAATGCAATGGGGTGGGGGGAGGGGGGGGGGGGATTGCAGAAGTATGAGATCGATGAGAACGTGTAGTTAGTTCAGGATTTAGTGAAAAATGCACGCAGTTTACATAGTGCAACGTTATACAATTCTGCAGATTGTAAACAATCGTTGTACAAGTTCAAAGCTTCATCTCCTTTTCTAATAACTGTCTAATGCCACAGTTGGTCTAGCAGAGTTTGAAATATATCGGGGCGATTAGATATGCAAATGGAGCGGTTGAATTTATTCGATCGTCGAGGCAAAGCCTCTCGCGGAGTAGAATTAACGAGAGCGTAGCTTATTCTCTCATGGGTTTTTCGTATTAATTTATGTTTATAACGTTTAACACCGTTCCGTGCCGCTTAAGTAGCCGCTAATGCCGCCTGGTAGCAGCGTTTCCGCGGTATCGACGTTAATTTAATATTAAAGTCCAGTAACACTTGGACGGAAAATTTCACGTGTCGAAAGTAGCAGAATTATTTAAACATTTGAAACTTACGTTTCGTAGTCTACCCTGTGCTCTTAGCGCACTGTCTTGCATCACCTTCCTAGTGGCTCTTTTGGGAGGTAAATTTGCCAGCATTTTCTGAATACTCTCGCCTGCAAGCAAAATTGCGTCGAGCATTATTTAAGCACGACGATTATAATGAAATCTTAACGCTATCGTGGAAAGTTTGCCTAAACAAACACTTTTTATGGGGATTAAAAATTATTCATTTCTGTGGGCTGGAAACGATACAGAGTTGTGATCGTTAAAAGAAAAAAAAAAGAGAAAAACTCGTAAAAAAATACGCCATAAACTACGAACGGTCTAAGGGGGATAATACACTATGCTATACGGTCGTAATTTTAATTCGTGGGTCGTTTAATATTTTTAACTGCTTCGTAGCAACTAAAGTATGTAAATTACCGTGGCTTTAACGCAGCGCTTTAAGGAAGTATCATTTCTTCGGAAACGCGTTCGCTGCGCGCATCAGCGTGTTACTGTTAATCCAGATGCGATTAATAAGTCTCAAGTTATCATGCCCCGGCTGGCTGTCGTAATTATTGCGTGGTAAAGGGGAAGTTGTTGGATAAGTGAATCGACTAAACGAAACAAAGTTTTAATTAGCGCAGTAATTAAACGCTTTTCTGACGTAGCCAACGCATCCCTCGGCCTCGTGTACGCATATTTATAGTTGCTCTTTATAAACTTCTTTACGGGTAGAATTTCTCATCGAGCATCGGATACGAAACTCGTAACGGGAATTACTCGAAAAAATCTCATTCAACGTGCGTTCGTTTATCTATTCTCGTATCGACTCGTAATGCGGACCGCGCGGTGAAATAATTGAAACTGGAAAATTGAAAGTAAGGCTCGACATCCATTTCTCTACCTCAAATCAAAAGAGACGTCGGTGCCTCGTCTATCTAAAAAAAGAAAAAAAAAGAAAATATTGCGGGTGATCAGACCTGTTAAAACGGCAGAAAAGTATGTATATTGCGAGACAAATGATCCCAAAGCAAACGGTGCTAGGATGGACACTCACGATCGCTGGGTCGAACTCTCGGACCCGGCGGTTGCTTCTCCTTTGGGGTGTTCACCCTCGGTGTCTGCGAGTTCTGGATGTTCCTCTTCATACCGCGTTGCCTCCGTCTTCTGCTCCGGCTACCGAACGGCCTCCATTTGCATTTCTTCTTCCCGTTACCGAACAACCCTAACAACCACGCCTGGTCTCCACCGCACTCCAGCATGTGCCTGTGCAGCTCTGGTAACGTGTTACAGTTCCTAGTGCACTTCGTGCAAACCTTTTCAGCCAATATGGCGGCTTTCGCTTTCGCCGTGGGCACGTCCTTTCCCGGCAGGAACAGGTGCTTGTACAGCTCGCGTTGGTCGCCGGAGAACTCGAAATGCGAACACCAGACGTTCGGGTGCGTGGCGGCTTTGTGCTCCTCCATCTCCCTTAACGTCACCTAAAACCAAACGTCGAAAACTTCGTCAACAGAGTTCCAATTAGAAATTTTTAAAAATCTTGCGTAATTTTAGTCACCTACAGCCACCCACGCAATTCTTATTCGATACACAGACTTTCAGATAACGGGTAAACTTTCCAAAAAATTAAATAGCCTCTTCCAAGAAACAAAGGTTACCCTCATTTTTCGACCCTTCGAATCGACACGAAAAAGACAGACTTGTGTAACGCTGTTTTAACGAATAGTTTGCAAAATATGGTAGCCTCGAGGAAATTTTTAAAAAATATTTATCCGTCACCTACAGGCACCCACGCAATTTTCATTCGATACACAGACTTTCAGATAACGGGTAAACTTTCCAAAAGATTAAATAGCCTCTTCCAAGAAACAAAGATCACCTTATTTTTCATCCCGTTACTTTGTCACGACCCTTCGAATCGGCACGAAAAAGACTTGTGCAACGCCGTTCCGACGAATAGAAACCTTGCTGAATGTGGTCAAGCAGCTTCGTTAATTGCTATTATACATCTTTATCGCAAACTGGTTAGAAAATTGCAAAGACTGGTTGTACGTTATGATTATTTATATAAACGAGTAACGGGCTTTATTTATGAAACGGCCGGGCACATCTTCCAAACTTGTACAGAGACTAAAGAGTAATTATTTTTGTGTAAAGCTCCGCGCTTCTACAGCCAGGATCTATTACCAGATGGTCTAGAAACCCTTTCGGAATCGATGTCATAAAATTTATAGGCTGTAGAGTTCGAGGCTGCTAGAAAAGTCTTTAACCTCGCGGTTCCGATCCGATAGATCATTTTATAAATGTCTTCAAACGGCAGAATAATTTAACGCGACCGATATCTCGATAAATTTTAGCGAGTAAATCGAACGTGTTGAATTTCTTTGGGGAATTTCGGAAGTCACCAATCGCCGCGAAGTTTGGGTTCGAAACTTCGCGATGCGAACCTGTTGATTAGTTTCGCTGGTAACAGGTAGTAATACACATGCTCAAATAACTCGACGATAATATTGAGCAACGGTCAATGGGAGATTCGTTTGACGCCAACTAATTGTCAATCAACATCAGGAGACGTCCTTTCAGAGGTCCACGATTCGATCGATAGTCGTCAATCAAGTGGCTGATTAATTAACTAATCGCTTGTAAATGCCAGTAGCGTCGAAAGGGGTCAACTATCTTAAACGAATCTTTTTCACCGACAATTTTTGTTTCGTCATATCAGGTGCTCGAAAGTGACACGATTATCAAGCAACTGTTGCTTCCGTCTATCTTAGACAACTTTTTCGGGGTTTCTGGACTTTCAGAAATCGTATATATTCTCCGAATATTATTTATAATGTTTAATATCGTGTACAAAGAGATAGAAGGCTTGCTGTAAATGTTTGACAGAATTCGTCACGAAATAAAAATTTCAGATCAGAAATAAATATAGTAAAATTCTGATTATCCAGTATACTCGGGACTAGAACAATAACAGAAGATCAAATAGACCAGACAATTGGACTATAGCTATATATGAAGTGATAAAAACGAGGAATTGGACCATTTGCATGGGGGTCTTCTCACTTTATGGGGTTAAGAAACAATATTCTTATAATTTTTAAATATTATCTGACAAAATACGCGTTGTTTTGTATTTAGAAACATTAAAATCCTCCAATCCGTCCAGCAGTTATGATTTTTTGGGGAAACATTTCTGGACACATTTATTTTTACGGTAAAGAATTTTTTTCTCGAAAATGTGCAGGATTTCGAGCGCATGTGTATTCACCAAAAATGATTGTAATTGGCCCCCTCAACTAAAAATAATTTTTTCAGAATAATTTGAAATTTTTTAATTTCGGCGAAAAATTTCTGCATTAGTGAATTTTTTTCTCGGAACTGCGTAGAATTTCGGGGGTATGTTTATTCACCAAAACTGATTGTAATTAACTCCTGCAATCAAAAATAATTTTTTTAGGCTGATTTGAAATTTTTTTTTCCGCCGAAAAATTTCACATTTTCTCGAATTTTTTTCTAGAAAGTGGGTAGGATTTCGGGGGTATGCCTATTCACCAAAAATGATTGTAATTAACCCCTGCAATCGAAAATAATTTTTATAGGACGATTTGAAATTTTTTTTTTCCGTCAAAAAATTTCACATCTTCTCGAATTTTCTTCTAGAAAGTGGATAGGATTTCGGGGGTACGTCTATTCACCAAAAATGATTGTAATTGACCCCCGCAACTGAAAATAATTTTTGTACAACGATATGAAATTATTTTTTTTCGCCGAAAAATTTCAACAGCCCCCCTTATCGATTTTTCTTAAGAATTCGTTTTTGATTTTTAGTAATTTTGTTTGACGCCCTACGGAAAAGTTGTCCAATACTTTTTTGTAGGTGTCCATGAGCTCTACTTCAGAAAAAAGTTTCATTGAAATACATTCACTATTGTAGGAATTATAGCCGTTTGGAAATCGGATCATTTTTATGGGGGTTTTCTAACTTTACGGGGTCAAGGAACAACTTTTCGAATATTTTTGCAATTTCTACATATTCTTCGCCAAAATACGCGTAGTTTACATTTTGAAAAATGAAAATCGTCCGATTCGTTCAGGAGTTATGATGTTTTAAAGATTCGCATGAAATTTCTCCTACGGTTTAGTCGTCAACTATTTAATATCGACATCATTGCTGGATGTACTAGCTGTGACATCTTTGTTTATATGAAATATAATCCATAACATTTACCGAAGAATAGTCGGGGTAAATAAATGGGTGGCGGATAATCAGAACTCTACTGTAATACGTGTCCATGATTTTTTAATAGAAACGTTGCACGCGTTACACTTCGCTGCAACTGGCTTCTATCTCAGAAATGTCAAAGAGCAACTAGTTTCACGATAAACTATTTAGTTCATGTTGGCAGTAATTACTGAAATAAGTCAGAAGCACAGGATCAGTGTGTCAACACAGATACTTAATTATACAGTTCCCCGCGAACCTTTTTAGCAAGATTATATTTCAGCCAACGATCCCGAATAAAATAATTCACTCCAATTACCGTTTCATTCCCATAGTGTTCGCTTTCACGATTGTTCTTGGATCGAACATCCAATCTAAAAACCATGTGGAATTAAAATACGCTCGCACGAACATTCCGAGATCGTCTGTTATTTAAATAATCATGTAAAAGTAATTTCACTCTTCTTGAAACTAATCCACCCAATAATCGGTCGAGACTGTCTATTTCGGAAACAGCTATTTATAAATAATCTTACAGAGAAGTCATTCCCATGTCTGCCTTAAATTACTCCCGATCAATTAACAGAAATACAAGGAAAGAACACGATCGATACGAGATCGTCTATCAATTCGCTAACCGTCTACAAAATAATTTCATCCAATCCCATTACAGGTCAACTCGCAACTCGATCAACAAAAATAATTTAACCCCTTTGCACTCCTACGTCGAGTGTGATTCGAGATCAATTTTTATCTCAGGAGCTCCTTCGTCAAGTCCCACTCGACACTTTTTCAAGTCCAAACCAAAGAGATATCGTACACTTGAAAGTTACAAAATACAACAACAGTGCAAATAAAACAGATTAAAAGCGTTGGGAGCTGCTGGTAACAAAATTGATATATAATTCGGAGTGCAAAGGGTTAATCAGGCGCGGCTGGCCAGTTTCTGGCCCGAGGAATCGCTTGTTTCGCTACACACGCGATCGAACGCGTTCGAACACCATCAAACCCGTTCCTAACCGATCGCTTAGGGACTTACGTGTTTGGTAGCGCAGGCGCCGCATACGTAGATCCGGGGCCTGGACCATTCGCCGGTGAGTTCCGCGTAGACGACTTCCTGCTTCTTCGCCGCCTCGTTGGACGTTTTTTCGTCCCACTTCCGGAGCCTCAAGAAACTGCCAAACTCCACGGTGAACTCGGTATCCTGCGTGATCTTCTTCAATTCGGATACGTCTGGCTCCCGTTCCGTGGGTTTGGCATCCGCACGAAAGGGCCGCTCGATCTCCGTGGGTTTGGCATCGCCACGAAAGGGCCGATCAGTCTCTGTGTTTGTTCTACCGGTGCACACTTCCTCGACGATCTCGGGCTCGTCCGACATCCGGGAGGCGTTCCGTTCGTCCCCGGGTACGTCCGTGGTCCCGGTCAGGTCGATAAGCGGTATCTGGTGGAGCCTGTTCAGGGTGACGCGTTCCTTCAGCAGCTGTTGCTTCTTCCTCAGCGACAGCTGCGTCGAGATGTCGAACTTGCTCAGGTCCTTGATGGAGCACGTCCACTGCTCCTTGCCGTCGTACTTCCTGGGGAAGTTGTACTTTTCGAAGGACACTCGTCGCGGATGTGACCTGTTGCTCTTACCGGGCTTTTGCGCGTACTCGCTCGAGTTCTCGTACTCCTCGGTGGCGTACTCCTTCGAGTAGACGGGCGTCGCCGCCGTCAGAGAGATGTCGATGGGGAACTGGATCTGGTTGGCGTTGTGCTCGTAGAAGGACTGCTGCTGTTGCTGGGGTTTCGGGTCCGCCGTGGACGCGGCGGCCGACGAGACGATCGTCGCGGAGGAAGTGCTCTGCAGCTTGCCGTCCAGGTGATGGAGAAGGTTGTCGCGGATGTTGCAGCTGACGCTGCTGTAGAAGGAGCTGTCGAACTCGGGGCTGCCCGGGTTGCTGAATGTCTCCTTCGTCTGGAGGATCGGTTTCAACAGGATGGGCTCTGTCGTTCTATGCTCGTGATCCTCCTCGGGTCTTTTTTCTTTGGAGCTCGACGACTCGATTCTATCGCGTCTTTGGCTAGTAAGCTCTCTGTAGAGAAACGAATTCGTCTTTTCCTGCGGAAGCGAAGATCGGTACACCTTGGGGACGCGTTTCTTGAGCAGCTTCGAAAGGCTCAGCGAGGAACACCATCGGTCTTTCCAGCTCACCGGAGCCGGCTGGTTGTTCCTCACCACGATTCCATGAACCTCGCTCATATGCACCGCCAGAGCATCCCTGGTGAGATACCTCGTGGAGCATTGAACACAGGCGTGATATCTGTCGCTGTGGTGGCTCGCCATGTGCTGGAACAGGCCCTCCAGATTCTCCGCGCACTTGTTGGAACAGTACTGACAGTTATGCGTGGGTCTCCTCGAGTTTCTCTCCGACCTTCTGCCGCCACCTTGCTGGTGAACCCTTTCGGTGTGCCGTTGCCTGAGGGATATCGAGAGAAACTTCCTGTCGCAGTAGAGGCAGAGATGCCTGACCGTAGGGGGCGAAGGTTTGCACGAATTCAGGGAACCGTGGGAGGAACAAGACGACGTGGAAGACGAACGACGGATCTCGACCGGTTGGCAATTCTGCAGCACGGAAGCTACTTTGTCCAGGGGCAGGCTGCAGTGCAAGCTGGTCGTCGCGAGATCCTGACTTCTGCCGGTACAGGTCTCCGTGAGATTGTCGGCCACCTTCGTCTTATCCCTTTCCTGGCCGTTCCCGTCGATCAGTTGAGTGATGTCGTTCAGCAGGTCGTTGAGGAGATCCCTGCAAACGTTCCTCAGCTCCGCGTTCTCAGCCATGAACTCTCGATGCTTGTCGATCCGTCTCTCCTCGTGGCGATCGTTCAGCCTCGCCATGATGATCTGGCCCAGCAAGCTCTCGTCCCCCGCCTCCGTCTCGTCCGCGGTGTCCGTCTCCTCCTCCCCCTCCCCCGCAGTGTCCGTTTCGCTGGTGTCTCTGTCAGAAATCTCGATCACCTCCACCTCGTCCTCCTCCTTGTCCACTTTTATAAGCTCCAAGCTGAACGTTTCCTTGGTCCCGGACTGTTCCGAAAGGACCGCGGTCTCCGTTCTGCTCTCGTTCGGCTTGGAAGGTTCGAAGTTAGCCGCTGGACCTTTCGAGTCTTCGTCTTCCTGATCGTCGGTCAGTTTCTCCGAGTCGTTGGCCGTCTCCGTCTCTGTTTTTATTATAATATCCTCCTCGATGTCCACCTCTTCCTTGATCACGCCGTTCAGCACCGTCATCACGTACTTCTCCAGCGTCTCGAGGTTCCTCTCGACGCTGTTCCTCTCATCTTCCTCTTTCCTCGGCGAATCGGCCGTCCTCGCGTCCGGCACCTTCTTCCTCAAGTTGTTTATGACGTTGCTCAGCCTGCTACGTTTGTCCTGGGCGGTTTGCGCCGACCTGTACGCGTTGCCGTGTTTCTCCTGCTGCTGCTGACGATCGCCGTTCGCGCTTGCCGGATGGCTGACGCCCAGATCGTCGAGATTGTGCGTGGACGCGACCATTTTGCCCTCGACGCTCGATGGTGACGACGCTGACGTCGTCGTCGCGGCCGTGGTCGCCGATGCCGTCGTTGTCGGGGAGAAATTCGTCGCGCGGAAAACGTCCACCGCCTCGCTGCTCGTCTTGCTACCAGCAACGTCTGCCGAGGCTGCTTCTGTAAATTCACCAGGGCGATGGATTAGCACCGGGCAGAGCCATTATTAACGAAACAATGCGTTTTCGTTTATAAAATTTTTATAAATCGTTCGAAAACACTCGTAATTGAAAGTAGCTCGAGTTTGGTGTTTCGGAGCGAAACCCTTTGCACGAAACACAGCGCGCTAATGTATTAGAGTGTTCTTCGACACACGATGGGTAAAGTAATTTATTTCGCGAATGTGCAACGGAATTAATATACCTACGTGGCGCATCCAGCAAATGGGATATGCAACGAACGCAAACAAATGTGGAAAAAAAAAACAGGCCGGGTTATATAAGCACACGGAGAGATCAATAATTCCCTGGTTGCCTGTAGCAGACGTAAACATCGACGGACCACCGAAGAAAATTGTGCAAGGCCCTGTCACTCTCGTTCTACCAGTACAATTATAAATTTTATAATAGTATCATAACCTCTTACAAGTATTGATCTTTTATGAAGACATAAAGAACGCGATCAGAATGGCGACTCAAGAAAATTGTGCAAGGCCGTGCGCCCTTTGCTTGTCATTCGTCCTTCCAGTACAATTATAGCTTTTCTCGCCTTCTTTAATATTCTTTCGTTTCAAACGCGACCCTCGAACGAACTGTCGAGGTGTTATTTTAATCCTAAGTCCTCTTGCCAGTATCGATCTTTTCCGAAGAAGTAAACGCGATCAAAATGCTTACGTTTATATCAGAAGGTGCTTTTTGTCAGGATATTCATCAGTCATTGGAAGAAAAAAATTGTCACGAATATTGTATGTTTCTACGAGTATGCTCAGAACAAAAAAATTACTTTGGCTCGTAATAACAGGTGTTCTAACCTATGATTATAATCCAGTTCGTTTTAATTAAAAACTCATTTGAGCGGTTCGTCCGAGGTCGAGGGAGCTCCGAGAACAGAGTCTCGCCCAAAGTTGCCCGCACGAAATCTGACAATTCCGATTTAATTGCAAGAAGATGCTGTCGTAGACGCGAACAGTGCAACCATAACGAGCCCTATACTCGGTAGCAAAGTGTAATCTGATTACATTTGCTACATTTACGGCTAGATAATAATCAAACGGTGATTACACGGTAATTACTTCCACGGGATCAGCGTGCGCGTCTACATCATCGGTTTGAAGATTAAATGGGAAGCATGATTTCTGTTAACGTATAATTCCCGTGTAATTATAATCGTAAACCGTTAAACCGTCTAATTGCCTGTGTGATTACCTTGCAGTCTCAATCGTGACAAATGCAAACGGATTACGTTTTGCATGATTGCTGAACTCGATTTTAAGTTTAATTCTACTAAAGTATCTTTAATTCAAGGGGGGATTTTTGGAGAAACCGTCACTTATAAAATAAGATCCTTGATGATGAGACAAGAAGAAGTTTCTCAATACTCTCCAAATAAAGCACTTTGCTGGAAAGTTTAATTTTGGTACAAGATACTAGACTTGTCTACAATCGATAGGAAAGGCGTAGAAAAAGGTTCGTATGCGCCGTGCATATATCGAGTGACGACAACAAGATTCGCCGTGCAACTGTCACCGTCAGTTTGCTTGTCCGCCATTGTCACTTCCGCCAGCGACATCGACCATTGCTGAAGCTCGCCATCATCGACGAGGAACGACACGCGTCCGTTAAATAGAGGGTGCATCAAAATTCATGGTACAAAAGATGCAACGGCTCGAGACGAAAACAAAGATCGAACAGTTTTTGAGAAAAGTGCTTTTGAAAATTGTTTGTTTATTCACGATTCCCGAATCGTCAACGATGATTGCTCGCGTCTTTGAACAGAATTTTCGAGGAAATCCTGTTTCTTTGCAGAGTGAAACAGATTTACACGCGACCGAACAATCCTCCCAACAACGCGGCCAGCACTAAGTTCGGCGTTTCTCGTTTAATATTCCGTGTAGAAGTTATTAAAGGTTCAGGTGTAAGCCGATTAAGTCGTTTCACAAGCCGGAAACGAAAAAGCTCCGGAAGTATCCGACGTTCCTCCGTGGCGGTAAATTAGCTCGAAAATCAAGAGGCTCGAATCAACAGATACAACATTTTACTGCTAGAGAATAAATTCCGTTGGACGATTAAAGCATGGATCACTTAGATGGTCGAATTAGGAAAGGTTTCAATCTTTTCGTAGAGGTTGGAAATTGTAATTAAAGGGCGCTCCCTTCGAGCGTCGAGTTAGAAGTTGGGTCGTTGCCTCGGCAACGGAGGATCGAGATTAGAAGAAAAGTTCGGATTTGTCCTGCTCGTAGGTCCACCACGTCAGCTAGTCCGGCACAGTCGAAAGTTCATCGGTGATCGGAATGTCGAAGGGTCCGCTTCGGTCGAGATGCGTTTATTTTCACGGGCGAGGAGCCAAGTGGTGCGGAATACAGGACGCCATTGCCGATGGAGCGTCCAGAAAATCGCGTTCACGCATCCCCAGTACCGGTTTACTGAAATTTTTCGTTGTTCGCGATCTTCCTTGGAAACTGAGCGTTAGTAAATTAGGAAAAAATGGTTTTCTGCTAGCAAGAAGTTCAGTGGAGCTCGAGGATACTGTTCAACAACGTTCTAGATAAAATGCTCGGATACAAGTGATATTTGCTTATATCGAGGGTGACATTTTATATTCTTACGATGTTTCTTGGAAACTGAGCGTTAATAAATTAGGAAAAATGGTTTTCTGCTTGCAAGAAGTTCAGTAGAGCTCGAGAGGACATTGTTCGACAGAATCCTGGATAAGATGCTCGGATACAAGTGATGTTCGCTGATATCGAAGTTGAGATTTTATAGTCTTACGATGTTCCTTGGAAACTGAGCGTTAATAAATTAGGAAAAATGGTTTACTGCTTGCAGGAAGTTCAATGACCTCTGATCAACAGCGTTCAACAGTGTTCTGAATAAGATGCTCGAATACAAGTGATATTTGCTTATATCGAGGGTAACATTTTATATTCTTACGATGTTCCTTGGAAACTGTGCGTTAATAAATTAGGAAAAATGGTTTTTCTTCTTACAGGAAGTTCAGTGGAGCTCGAGGACATTGTTCAACAGAATCCTGGATAAGATGCTCGGATACAAGTGGTGTTCGCTGATATCGAAGTTGAGATTTTATATTCTTATGATGTTCCTTGGAAACTGAGCGTTAATAAATTAGGAAAAATGGTTTTCTGCTTGCAGGAAGTTCAATGACCTCTAATCAACAGCGTTCAACAGTGTTCTGAATAAGATGCTCGGATAGAAGTGATATTTGCTTATATCGAGGGTAACATTTTATATTCTTACGATGTTTCTTGGAAACTGAGCGTTAATAAATTAGGAAAAATGGTTTTCTGCTTGCAAGAAGTTCAGTAGAACTCGAGAGGACTTTGTTCAACAGAATCCTGGATAAGATGCTCGGATACAAGTGATGTTTGCTGATATCGAAGTTGAGATTTTATAGTCTTACGATGTTCCTTGGAAACTGAGCGTTAATAAATTAGGAAAAATGGTTTACTGCTTGCAGGAAGTTCAATGACCTCTGATCAACAGCGTTCAACAGTGTTCTGAATAAGATGCTCGAATACAAGTGATATTTGCTTATATCGAGGGTGACATTTTATATTCTTACGATGTTTCTTAGAAACTGAGCGTTAATAAATTAGGAAAAATGGTTTTCTGCTTGCAAGAAGTTCAGTAGAGCTCGAGAGGACATTGTTCGACAGAATCCTGGATAAGATTGTCGGATACAAGTGATGTTCGCTGATATCGAAGTTGAGATTTTATATTCTTACGATGTTCCTTGGAAACTGAGCGTTAATAAATTAGGAAAAATGGTTTTCTGCTTGCAGGAAGTTCAATGACCTCTGATCAACAGCGTTCAACAGTGTTCTGAATAAGATGTTTGGATACAAGTGATATTTGCTTACATCGAGGATGACGTTTTATATTCTCACAATGTTAATCGAGTTATCATGAAAATACTTAGAATAGTTACTAATTTGTCGATGTTTGGGCAAACACGTGAGCCTATTTATTCGCTTTATAACAATGTCGTTCGAATAACTGTAACAATTATTTCGCGAATGCCGGAATAGAAAGCGTCAAGATCGAAAATTACGCAAGTAGGTATATGGCACAGTTCGTTCCACGATAATTACGACGATATACGAGCATGTATCTGCCGATCATGCCGTCTGAAATTATAGAGACTATGTTGCACACCTTCTCCCGGTCTTCGTACGCGCGGGTGAAAAAAGTTAATCTATGCCTTATCGCGGTAATTATAGTGATGTTTGCTTCTTCTGGTCGCCCGCCGCGATCGCAATGAACGTTCATCGATCAAACGAACGACACGTTCCAAAGAATATAAATAAAAAATCGTTGCATAGATTACGCGATATAGTAATGAAATTCGTGCGTAATGCCAGATTGCAGAAGCGTGAAATTATACGGTGCGATTCAATTTAATGATTTCACGGTGTCTCTTCGCCAATTATCTTCTTTCAGCGACGTGTCTACCGAACACTACGTTGCCACGCCATAAATCCTCGTAGTCGAACATAATCCAGTATTTCATAAATAGAAGAAACAGAGCTGCAGTGGAAATGTCTGCCTCCATTTTTACAACCAGAAACTATATTGTTTTTCTTATCTTAGCGCGTGTAAGTCGATTCAAATCATTTTTCGACGCTTCTGTTTCTTCTAAACCTGCATAAAAATATATTTTTCATTGAATAATATTGCCCCAAGAATTTTCGTATTACATTCGAACATAATCAGGTATTTTACAAATAGAAGAAACAGAGATTTATTGAAAATGTCTCCATTTTGTCTCATCTTAGTAAGTCGATTGAAATAATTTTTCGACGGTTCTTTCTTTTCCAAACCAGCATAATATTGAACCATATTGCACCGAGAAGTCTGCAAACAAATTTCAGAGAGGAAGCGTTCGAGTATCGAGAAACGATCCTCGTAACTTGAATATTCCCGAAAAAAGTAGGCAGTAGATTA